TTGGGATTACATCATTATTGTATGTTTTAAGTAGGCTGTTTACCTTGAGTTAGAGTTATGTCTTGTTTGCTGAATTTAGATTGTTCTTAGGTTAATTGGGCTCTAGCCGGCAGCTAGGGATTTGGGAGGGCCATATCTTCTTCTCTAATTGAAGATCCATTGTTTCTTATTTGTTTTTCTTTCATATATTATTAATTAAAAAGGTTTCTCTCTTGTTATTCCCCATAGTTCTTCTTGTGGATTGTGTTTGGGCTTGCTAAAATTAAAATTCAGCCAATGATTCTTTGATTTCTACAAGCACTTCCTATTAGATCGCATGATAAATTGGCTTACATGTACTCTTCTTACATCCCCTCTCGCTTTAAATCCTTAAAGTTAAAGTTTGCTGATGAATCTATATCCCCTATTATTGGGAGATGGATCATTAGAGTTAATTTTAAGGTTTGTCCAAATTATATCATACATATTCCAAATCTCTCTTGCAACCTATTCTATGTCAGCTAGATAGCTAAAGATCACAATTGTAAAATCACATTAAACTCTTGTAAATTTCTAGACCAAAGATTAGGGAAGATGATTGAAATTGTTAGGAATGTTAGTGGTTTGTACTACTTTGATGAATATTCAAAAAAGAGTAATCATGCCCTTACTATCAATAAAGATTTGTCTTCTCTAAAAAAAGGGGATCACATTATGTTATAACATTATATGTTAGGACATAATAGATTTGCTTACCTTAAGAACTTAATTCCTTCTTTGGCTAGTAATAAAAATATTTTTATTGTGAAATATGCTAACTTGTCAATCACCAAATAACTAACTTTAAACCTTGTTTATATAAAGCTATAAAACTTTTTCACTTGTGCATAATGAGATTTGGGGTCCATCTAAATCTGAGAACTTTAACTCAAAATGATGGATCATCATTTTTATTGATGATCATACGCATGTGTATTGGCTATATTTATTAACGGATAAATTTGATGCTAAACCAGCTTTTAAAAAATTTCACTTATTATTAGAACTCAAAACTCGAAATTTAAATCCTCCACTTTGACAAAGGTAGAGAGTTTCTTAAGCACATTTATAAAAGTTTCCTAAATCAGAATGGTTACAATGGTATTATTTATCAAAGTTATTGCCCCAACACTCAACAAAATGATTTTGTTGAATGCAATAATAAGCATCTTATATAGATGGCTAGATCTAGTATGTTCACTGCTAATACCCCTAAATATTATTGGGGTGAAGCCAGTTTCACTATGTGTTGTATTACAAATTGGCTGCCTATGAATGTACTTTTCTTCAAAACTTTAATTAATGTGCTTTCAAATGCTTTTCTAATATTTATACCATTTCTAATCTTCTACTTAATGCATTTGGGTGTAGTGCATTTGTCCAAAATTATGAACCCAATAAAAGTAAACTTGTTCCAAAAGCCTTCGAGTGTATCTTTCTCAGGTATATGGCAAATTAAAAGGGGTATAAATGCTATTATCTTGATAAAAGAAAAATATTATTATACGTAGATGTTACATTCTTTGGGAATAAACCCTTCTCCTAGAAAAAATTCCTTCAGAGGGAGATAGAAGATGAAGGAAATATTATTTTTTTGAAATTCTCCAATCCACTAATACAACCAATTTTCTTTGAATTGATGGCATTGAGGTCACCGAAACTTATCTTTAATTGACCCCATAACATCCTATTAAACTATGAATTTAATTTTGAGGGAAGAATCTACAAAAAAGATGTGAGACCATTCTACCTCCCTAAGCTTGTCATGAATTATATGTGGACTCTGATAAATTCTCAAACTCTCTCCTTGTTACAATACTCAACATCCTCTAGCAAATGTGATGGGATATGATCATTTGATCTGGTCAGGAAAAAAAAATGTTAACTTGGCAAAGATTGAAATTTTGAAGACAATAGATGAGGCCTTTCATACTCTAAAATGTAGATTTACCATTGAAGAGGAGATGAAATATCTTGAAAAAATTGAAACATGGGAAGAAGATATTTAAAGACCTAAGGATGCCATCCTTGTTGGATGATCTTCACTATAAAACATCGATCATATGGATCCACCAAAAGAAATGAAGTATGATTGGGATCACCTATTTTAATTCTTTTGCTCATGTGGCAAAACATAACACGACGAGTCCTTTAATGATAGTCTACCTCATACCTGTTAACGACGAATGGTGCACCATGGCGCGAAGGTCCCTTTGGAGTCATGACGCATAGCGCACGGCGCGACGCGCGCTATTTTGAACATGGCGCAAGCTATATAAAATTTATAAAATAATAAGCATGAATATGAAATATTATTAAAATGAAAGACAAGCTATCATAATAATAAAAGACAACCATAACATATATAAATTCGACTAAGTAACATCCAAATATCTCATAATTTAAATATTACAATATTTTTTTAAAAGATCAAATAAGAATTTAATCTACTCTTCTTGGGAATCATCATCATCAGCAAATGTTAAAAAAACTTCATTATCTTCTTCAACATTGTCTCCTACTTCATAATCCTCTTCATCACCCTCCTCATCATCATTCTCAATAGCAACATCATGCCTAATTGAAGATTCTCTCTTTCCCTTAAGATCTTTCCCGAATATTATAACTTTTATCATAAACACCAGTAGCTTTAGCAACACTTGTCCAAGTTAAATCTTCCTCTCCAGCAATAAAGTCATTTTCATCATCAGACTCATCATCTAATTTTCCTGTTAGCCATTCATTTGTATCATCTATCTCAGTCAAAGAAATATGATCAATGACATCACGATAATTGAATCTCCGAATCAGTGCTCTATTATATTTTGCATAAACTAAATCCTTTAAGCGACCATGATCCAATTTGCTTCTTCGTTTGCTATGAAGCTGCAATTAAAATATTATTACATTACTATATTATGAACATATATAAAAAATCAACACATACATTGTAAAATACTTACATGTTCAAAAATACTCCAATTGCATCCAGATGAACTACATGTTAGACTTAGGACTTTGACAGCAAAGCTTTGTAAATTGGGAGCTCCTTGTCCCCTCATTTCTTTTTTAGCTGCATCCATTTTTTTGTTAAACTGACCTTTTCTATGCTTTACTACATCTTCAGGATTTGGTGTAAGGAAAGTATCTAATGGACCTTTAGGTCGTGATGTTTTGAAGATAGATGTAGATGGCGATCCTTGACTAGATGTGTTAGATTTATTTGTCCGCAACATTTTAGATGGTTTAGCAACTAAAATATCATCTGTCGTCACATCAAAGTCTTCTCCTTCTTCTTCAGCAAGGTTTACATTTGATATGTCATTAAACTGTTCCTTTAAATTTTTTGTTTTCAACATGGAAGTCTTAATTTCAGACTTCAGGTGCTCGGGACAGTTAGAGCAAGGCCTTGCATTCCTAAAACCCCCAACGAGGTGTTGTTTGTGGCGTGTAATTCCTCCTTTTGTTATTTTACCACAAAAAATGCATGTCACACTGTTGTTGTCGTATTCATTTGTTAGTATAGCATATTTCCATGAACATGACGCCATAGGTGCGCCGCGCCACGCCGTGCGTCTTGGCGCGCGCTATTTTGCGCCATTGACAGCTATGGTCTACCTTGACTAACCACTTTGCCAATTGAATGCTAATAATTTGAATTCTTGCGTGAAGACTTAAAAGAGGAAGTCTACATAGATCTTGATTCACTGACTTTGGGAAGACAATCTTAGTTTGCAAATTGAAGAATTTTATTTTTGGGCTAAAAAAACCAAGTCGAGCTTGATTTGAAGGGTTCGTGAAAGTGGAATCAACAAGTTTCAAACAGGCTCATTTTGATCACACATTGTTATCTACTATAGTAATTGTTTTTGTTGATGACATCAGTATTACAACTTTACTAGAGATCATGATTTGGAGATGAGTACCTTGAAAAAAAAAAAAAAGGCAAAAGAGTTTGAAATAAAAAACCTTGGGCATCTTAGGTATTTTTCTTGGAACTGAAATCTCTAAGAATAAATCTGGCCTCATTCATTCTCATAGAAAAAGTATGCTCTAGATCTCTATAAAGAAATTGGCTTATTGGGGGGTAAACTGGTTGACAGTCCAATTTATTCTGACATTAAATTGTGTAATGTTAGTTTTACTTCTCCATTTGATAAAGGATGATATCAAAGGTTGGTGGAAAAACTTGTCTATTTGGCCATTGGGATAAGTGAAATAATCTTGCTTAATTAATTAAAATAAAAAATTGAAGTTCCTATGACGACTCCTATGATACTATGTTTTTTCAATAAAGCTGCTATGAGTATAGCACACAATTATGCCCATCATAATCATACTAAATATCTAGAGATTGATCAACACTTTATTAAAGGGAAAAATCTAAATGGAGATATATGCGTTTTATAAATTCCTTATGCGGATTTGACTTCCGTCATCCTAATCAAAAGATTGGCTAGTACCTGTATAAAAAATTGATTGAGCAGCTTGGTTTTTTTATATTTACAGAAAGACTTGAGGAGGTGTGTTGAATAATTTGCATCAGTTACTTGCTTAAATTTAATAAAAAAATATTTTTCTTCCTAAAACTTTTTCGTTACAATTGAATTCAGGATATTGTTGGCCATCTTGGGGAGCCGACCTGGCTACCTCTCCACTCCTAGATGGCGTCTTATGGCTTCTGAGCATTTTTAGTGGCATCAACAATACTATTTCCCAATGATTCTATCCTTCATTATTAGTACTTTTTAAGTGCAATTACTGCCATATTATTTCTCCTGTTTTATAGTTTATTACCTCTTGATTTTGCCCATCGTAAATCCCTATAAATAGGGCTATGTTCTGGCCGAATAAAGCATGGAGTATTCCACCTTTCTTATTCTTTAATTCTCTTCTACATGCGGTTCTCTTAATATTTTCCAGTAAGGGTGCTATTCATGTGTTTATCTCTATCTTTCTCTGATTTGTTTGTCTTAACATAGGTTGCATGGGTCACGAAGTCCGGGCAGAGTGATTTGGAAATACCTATTGCAATTCGTCCTACTAGTGAAACCGTGATGTATCCTTATTTTTCCAAGTGGATTAGGGGACACCGTGACTTGCCATTAAAGCTAAACCAGTGGTGCAATGTTGTGCGGTGGGAGTTCAGCCACCCCACACCATTCATAAGGTAATATTTTGTTTTTCATGTTTACTGATTCTCAAGTACCGATTATGTACATAGTATATTTTTTATTTAATCAATTGTCATGAACAATTTTTGAAGACCTGAATCTTTTTTCCTTTGCAACCTTATGTGAAGGTTGAGATTGGAGTATCTGATATTTTCTTCAAGAATTATAATCAGTAATTCTAATTTAATAACTACCTAGAAAGAATGGAATTGTACTTTTACGAGTTTGAATCTTCAGAAAATTGAGATATTTTTCAGATGCTGAATTTTATATTCGCTGGAATAGTCAAAACATGTATGCTGTCTTATCAGTAAACATCTATTGTTAAATTTATGTTTTTCTCAGCATTCCATTTGAAATAAATGTGAATAAAAAGCGCATAGCTCATATGTTAAGATTATAATTGCATATACCAAGATGTCACTATATAAGCAGTTTGGTTGAAATAAAAGTGATTAAGGAAATAGTTTCTCTTGAAACTACACCTAGGAGTCAAGACCAATGTGTTAGCTTGATGAAATCTTTTGTTTTGTAATGCCTATATCATTAATGATAAAGTTTTTTTTAAAAAAAAAAAACAGTTTGCAATTTTTGAATGATGTGAAATGACCTGGATCAACTACTGTTTTTTTTTAATGTCAATTAATATTTTTCTGATGCTACACTGATTGTTGATGATTTATTTTTTACTACTAATTTGGATTTTTTTAGCTTTATTTCCTAAGTGTCCATCTAATTGAATTTGAGCAATTTAGCATAGCGACATTGATCTTATTGAAAAGCCGTAGGCTAGCTTATAAGGGTTTACGCCCAAAAAATAGTCAAATTTCAACTTCAAGGGATAGGTCGCAACCACTTTGTTGCTTCAGAAGATTACCTGAATTTTCTTGGATACCTTTTTGAACTATGCTTTTCTTTTTCCCAAGTGAAGGTATAGGGAATGGGAAAAGGCTTTTGCAAAGTGTGTTAGGGATTAGGGTTGTAAATGAGTGAGTGAGCTTGACACGTGATTGTATTTGGCCTGTTCATCTCGTATTTTATTTGAATTCAGCTCTTGTTCAAAATTGTTCATAAACATCATACTCGTTCGATTCCTTCTAACCCTAATAAGCTAGTTTGGCTCGAATTTGGTTTAAATTATAAGAAATTATTTTTTTTTCAACTAAGCATACAAGGGCCAATTGTGATTAATTCATCAATATGTTGTAATTAAATAATTGATTTAAAATTAAAATAAATTGAATATTTATATAGATTACGTATATACGATCAATTAATGAGCCAAAGAAAATTGATCTATGGTTTTTTTGTATTTGAATTGTTTCAAAAATGAGCTCAAAATATTTGCTCAAGCTCGGTTACTTTTATAAAAGGTGAGTTGAACATGAATTTCTTAATGAGCTGAACACAGGTTATTTGGGAACAAAGAGCTTTTTCGATAGCCTTAGTAGTCATCAATTTGAATTCAGTCTTATGTTGCTTTAACTATGCTTAATGTCTGATAATAAAGACAAACGCAGTATTTACTTAGATGTTAGATACTTGTTTTTGGTAAAATTTACCATCAATATAGCATCGATCTTCACAACATTAATCTTTTCTCTTATGAGCAGCCATCAATATTTTTATCATTCAAAGAACTAGTAAAATTGGCTACTGATGGATTACTGAACGTTTTTAGGAGTCGGGAGTTTCTTTGGCAAGAAGGTCATACAGCTTTTGCAACTAAAGAGGAAGCTGACAATGAGGTATCTAACGGTTATCTTTTGGCCTTGTGCTACAATTAACGTTCTTGATTTCAATCTTATTGCATCTATGTATGGTTTGTGCTTTTTTTTTTCATATGTACATTTTCCCTTTAGTAGCCTAAATAGTTCGAGTAAGGTTTATGAGTTAATGAATAGGACTTTCCACGTTGATTGAACCCAGTGAAGAATGCATGCTGCATGAATAAGGCAAAATAAACAAACATGTACTTTATTGAGCTCTGTTTTTTGGGTATCTTACATTTATTTGGCTTAATGGGCAAAATTTTAACAATGATTCCAGGTTCTTGAGATATTGGAACTATATAGAAGAATTTATGAAGAATATCTTGCAATTCCAGTAATCAAAGGAAAGAAAAGCGAGTTAGAAAAGTTTGCTGGCGGTTTTTATACTACAAGCGTTGAGGTATGAAATGGCCACTACATATATCATCAGCGACATTTTATTGTGATAATTCTTGAAAATTCCTTAGACAGCTCTTTTTACACAATCTATAATGTTTTTTTGCGGCCTGCTAGGCTTTTATCCCAAATACAGGTCGTGGAATACAAGGAGCCACCTCACATTGCCTTGGTCAAAATTTTGCAAAAATGTTTGAGATAGATTTTGAAAATGAGAAGGGGGAGAAGGCCAAGGTTTGGCAGAATTCTTGGGCATACAGCACCCGCACGGTAATTTTCTAAGCTACATGAGATTATTGTTTTTATTTAATTTTATGTTCTTAATGATTGGTTGAAACTTGTAGTGTTTCTTCAACCCCTTGCGTAGGTGCAGTACTAGTTAGCGTACTGTTTGTGGATTTCCTTTAGGAATTTAATTTAGCAATTAGTTTTAGCTTCTTTTATTTAGCTTTATTTGTATATAAGGAAATTTAGTTTAAGTTAATGGACGAAAGTTTTGAGTACTAAAATTAATGTTTGGAGAGTAATAATGAAGCTACTAATTCTCTAAATTTGATAAAGTTCATTAATTTCTTGTTCAAACACGGCTTTACCATTTGAAACATTTAATTTTCCTAGCTTTCTTTTTTATGATCCAGAAAGTGCAATGCCTGCTCTGCTTAACACAAGAGGCGCTACTTGTCTTATCATGCTGATAATTTGTCGAAACCTCAATGATCAAACGATGCTATTTTTCAAGAAGCTTGGAAGATCGCCCCACTTTGATTTTTTAATCTTTACTGACACTTTTCACTGAACTTTTTTAGATGGAGTTTATTGGAAGTTGTAAAAGAACCTTTCATGATTTAAATGACAAATGCAAGTGGCGCTGTGAAGATTCTGTTGGCATGGTTTGAGGAAATTCTAAATTTTTTTACACTAACCAATGTGAAATGCTGAGTTTCCTGCGTTATCAAATAAGTTATAGATATAGTTACATTCTTTAAGGTTATTTATGCTTTATCAAATACATATTTTTCCTCTAGAGAATGGTCCCTCTTATGGTCATTCATATCTCTGACCTTTCTTGGTACGCTTGAAGCATTTTATAAACTTCATTTAAAATCGGGCATGTAGATGGGTATGAATTTTTAGGTCTTACATGCGTCTCTTGGTGTTCATATCATGGGTTGGCCACTCGGTATTTTTTTTCCTTTTTTGGTTGGTCTAAGTGGCTTGCCACTGCATTCTGCATTCCTATGCTTGCACTTGATTGCTACGCTTTATGTTGTTTAATTAAGTGCGTATCCTCTAAATCTAGTGATAAGTACCACTGCATGTTGAACACTTTGCTGAAAGAATATAATCTAATTTTACATTATAGCTTGTTCCCTTTGTCTAATTCATTTTATTTATAATGGTTAAGAGGAGAATAATATTTTCATGTGTGTTGTTCACTCGAGAATGCCTCTTTTTATAATAACGGAATGAATATGATATTACAAAGCACAGCCATTTTTTTATATTCCACTCACCAAATATAGATCACTTTTCAAACATAATTTTTCCTGTGCTAACACATCTCTTCAAGCTTGAGCATATATATGAATATATCAATTATATCCAGCTTGTTATATAGATTTGTAAAACGGTAAGGTCCAAGCAGCTTGGTAAATATATTAGCTAATTGTTCTACACTGGAAACATAAGAGAGAACATCTTTGATGATGTGCTAGTCAAGTTTTATGTGTTTAGTCCTTTTATGAAAGATTGAATTGCTAGCAATATAGATAAATACTTGATTATCACAGTTTAAAATCATAGGTTGGGTTACATGAAAGCCAAATTCTCTAAGAAGAGTGTTTAACCACATCATCTTATTGATGGAGTGAACTATGGCATTGCATTTTGTTTTAACACTAGATCTTGCCATTATTATTTGCTTCTTACTTATCTAGGTCACAAGGTATCCACCAATAAAGATATAATATCCAAAAGTTGATTTCCCACTCAAATTATCCATTGTCATTGTGATCTCCATTGGCTCTGATGTTCGTTTCCCTTGATAACTAATCCGTTTTTAAGAGAACTTTTGACATATTTTAAAATTCTTTACATGTGGCAGGATGACCTATTTTCCTTACCCCATATAGGAGGATGCAGAAGTACTGCCAAATTTCATTGAAAATTTTATAGCACAAGAAATCCTTTAAAATGCAAAATAACACAATAAAGAGTCAAAATAATGAGTAAAACATGCAAAGTAAGATCAGAACAAAATTTGAAATTTTTAAAGAAGTCGCATAAAAGATTGAAATAAACAAAATGGGCTTACACACATTTTTACGACAAATACAATGAACATGAATAAGAGCAATTCACTAACCTCATGCACTAGACACTTGAAATTGAATGATAATTACATGCGGACTCCCTTTTTTATAGCCACTAATCTCATGCAGCGGACCAACCCAAGTATGAGCATGCAAAAAATATAAAAAGATATTATTATTGTAAGGAATCTATAAATTTCATTTCCTTACACATTGTGCGTGCAAAGGAGGAAAATATGAAAAGTAATGCACTGAAAAGTATGTATGTTGTGATGAAGAGCATACCAAAAGATTTAAATGTAAAGCGTTGTGCACATTATAATGAAAAGGAGTCGCCAACTAAAGCATGGGATTTGGAACCAAAATGCCTTCAAAGTGATGTGCATGTTGTTCAATGCAAATTAGTTTGAAATTAAGTTGTGTGAAAAATTGTGCATGTTATTCCAAAAAGCATGTGATTCCGCTTTTTGGTTCAAATCTCTCATTGTGCCGAATGCACGCTTAATCTAGAGAATTGAGAGATCGAGGAATGCACTTGTTATTTTATGAAATTTTAGGATAAAATTAATGGAAAGAGAATATATAAATATGAAAAAAAGAGAAATAGAGGAAAGAAAATAGAGAAAAATCCCAGGAACTATTTTATGGTTTCCTTTGATTAATTTCCTTATACTTGAATATTTACATCCATAACCACTATTCTGTATGGTTTGATCATGGAATTATTTTACAATCTTTGCAAAGTTTTTTTCTTCTCCTTCAGAGTGAAAAAAAAAAAAACAAAGCCTATTTGTGATTTAGTGGCTCCACTTTTGAAAGGTAACTAGTTGCTTTTCTAGTTTTTCAAAGTATTTGGTCTCTTGTATAAGATCATATTCTACTCTAAAAATAAAGCATTGCCTCTCATTATATTTTTTATGTTTTATTCCACACCAACTGTAAATCCTTTTAAACCATTATATTTATTTATGCCATCGACAATAATTATGCTCTTTCTCAAATGTTCTTTGTAGTAGTCTCTCTATATTTCCCCAAAATTGATTTTTCAATTTATTTTCTTTTTTCAATTGAGGACTGTAGCATCAATCATATTGATGCTGTCCTCAATAATAATAACTTGACGACAATCGCTTGATTCAACTAAAAAAATTTATATTCCATCTCTCTATTGGCTATTATACTTATCCATTTATATTATTAACCTTTTAAACATTCAATATAGCTTATAAACTGCATTGGGATTGTTTTTTCCTTCCCATCTAGATTCTCACAATCATGCGATATTTATTTTTTCTTCTAATCATTGTGTAGTTCTCTGATTTGTCCATTCACAGTCCCCATATTCATATAAGAAATCTAATCTTAATTGAAGTTATTGTCATCCTTTGCACATTTTTCTTACAATTGCGTTGAATTGTGGCGTCTCTTACATGTGACATTCCTAACAACCTAACCCTTCAAGTACTTCTATAATCATTTTATGTTTAGGCACACCAGGTAAGGCTTTTATTTAACAAACCCTTGCTAATGTATCACCACAATTGATTTGTTCATGGCACAGGTTGCTTCTATGGAATTCTTAACATTGACCAAATTGTAATTTGTATTCATTTCATGAAGGTTTGGTGTAAGTCTTAATGGTTGGTTATCAAGCATCAAATTAACAACAACCTTCAACCACTCTTGCTCAGACTTAGAATCTATAATTACGATTCTATATGTTGCAATGGCTATTCTTCTTCCAAAATTGCTTTTTCATCTAACATCTTATATAATCTTTAAACTCAAGGTTACAAAATTGATTGTGTCTATAATATATTAGTTATATGTGGATTGAGTTTCATTAATTTTACTGATGATTTTACCATTCATTGAGCATGTGAAAAATACAAGGATGATTGGACGGTATATAGTCCTTTTAAAAGTCTTGTTTGCTATTTCACCAATCATATCCATTCAATACATGCAATATATTAATAAAAAACTTATGTATTTGATTCTAACTATTTGAAAGTCTCCACAATTTTGCAATCACAGTCAACTTGTGATGAGGACATCAGAGATCTACGACTACGATCGTGCATATTTTTTTGATCTATTTTATGTATTTGATTTGTTATTGTTCTTTTTTTCTTTCTACCCTCACTTGAGGGCTTTGTCTTATGTATGCCCTAGGGGCAATAGTGTCTTTGTTATTTCCCTTCATGAATTTGGCTATTTAAAGTCTCCCTCTTCTTCTTGGAGGGTTAATGATGATTTATAAAAAAAATTCCTGCACATGTGTTTTTGAGTTGTGAGAGTTCTAGGAGAGAGTTTCGGAGGAATCTCTAGGGAGGGAAACAGATCACCCACCAACCTTGGAGCGGCCAGGTTCGTGTTTTGTTTATCGTTTTTGTTTTTTTCTTTCTTTCCTTCTCCTTTTCCTCCTAGCCACCGGATTCACTAGCCAAACCCCCACCCTTAAGCCGCCGGCCACCATAAATCCACCCTCACCGTTGGCTAAACCCCACTCCACCCCCACCCACACCTCTCCCTCTTTTCCCCTTCACCATCCCGGCCCAACCACAAACCACCGGCCCCTCTTTGGCCTTTCCCTCCTTTTTCCTTATTTCCTAATATAGATTGCCTATAATTAGGATTAATTTTGAATTCAAATCCAAGTGACTTGAAATTCAAAATCTTTCCTAAAATACGAAATCTATTTTAGGAAAGTATTTAAATCTCATATCAATTCAATCTTTTATTGAATGAGATTTAATTTCACTTACCTAATTGAAGATTTCCTATTATGCAAGCCATAGACTCTTTCCTTAAATCCCTATCCCATCCATCAAGCCGCTGGCCCCCCTACCCCTTCTTCAAAATTGCTTCCTAAAGCTCCACTTTTCTTATTTAACTCCATCTATCTTTGGAAGGAGTTTGAATTTTGAAATAATTCAAATTTAAATCTCAAATTCTTCCTATTTCATTAATCATATTTTTGGAAAGGCCATTAAATAAATCAATTAATCAAAATCTGAATTAATTGAGTAATTAATGTCTTAACTCCAAATACCTTGAACCTAGACACCCTTTCTTCTCTCTCTCACCTGGCCGAAATTCCCATGTCCCCACCAATTAAATTCCTTCCATAAGGAAGTCTCTCTCCTTATGAAAATAATCCCAAATTTCCCCCCCTCCTATCACCCTCTCTCTCCAATTTAATCTGGGATCTAATTGAACTTGCCACCTAAGCAATCAAATCTATCCCAAGGCTACTCCTGCTGCCGTTCACAAATTCCCCCCACCGTATTCCTCACTTCCTGCATCCATAGATCTGGAAATCTTAAGTTCTCCCAGTCAAGTTCAGACTTCTGAACAAGTCCTGTGAGCTGTCCAAGGGTTCCGCAGCTTTACAAGCTGCTGTCCATGCCGTTACAACTGCTGTCCAGCATTCCAGGATTGGATAGTTTGCTGTCCAGAATTTTCTGGACATAGACCTGTACTGTCCACAGGTTCCTGCAGCCATCAACTGCTGTCCTGCACCATGGGAGGTCTGAAATTGTTGTTCAAAAACCTCCAGCAGCCTATAACAGCTTCCCAAGGTTTATACAAGCATTGGAGATTGCTGTCCAGAATTTCCCAAGTGTCAAAGTTACTGTCCAGCATTCATAACATCTCCTATTGCTGTTCCGCTGGTTTTAAAATCAGATTGATGTCCAAAGTCATCAAGAAGAATCAAAGGTTGCTATCTACTTCCTCTCAAGCACATAAACACCACACCGGAGCCTTGTTTGTAATGTTTATTTGGGTCAACTTTTCTCCTACTCTTTTATCTTTTAGTCACTCTCAATTGTAGTTATTAATTGACTCATGAAAAGTTGTGTTGATTCTTCCCGCTAAAGTCTAGTATTTATTAGGAGTTGTGTGAGAGATCTTGCATAGCACTACTCTTATTATTAGATTAGGGATTTCTTGTTGAAATTCATTTCATTTGCAATGTCAAGAGTAATTGATTGTTATGTGATTTTTACTTTTTGCAAGTGACTTGGCCTAAGCTTTTGTTATCGCTCTTGTGTTTTATTGTCTAAATCAACATCAAGCTTTAGTTAATTTGCTCTTAATCATCCAGAGTGCAAAATCCTAATCTAAATCATCTTGGTCATTATGTTCTGCATCAACTTGTCATGCAATCAAGCCATCCATTGTGAAACTTTTGACCTATTGATGATAAATGATCTTAGAAATTATTAAAAGTGTGCAACGTACTAGTTCAATGATGTTAAATAAAGATGGACAACTTTGATCTTACATTTGAAGATAATAATATCAAAATTTAATTGCAAGGAGGATGACGATTCTCCTCCTAGGACAGTTTTAATGATGCGTTATATATATATATATATATATATATCATTTTTGGGAATTTCTTATCAAATTTATCAAGCTTGAGTCAATTCATGGATTGACATGTTCTAAAATTCATTTTTTTCAGATTGGAGTAATGGTCATGGTTCATGGAGATGATAAAGGCTTGTTGCTGCCACCTAAAGTTGCAGCTGTCCAAGTTATTGTAGTTCCTGTACCTTACAAGGATGCTGATACCCAGGCCATCTTTGCAGCCTGCTTATCTACAGTTCAAACATTGCAAGCAGCCGGATTCAAGGCTGAGCATGACTTGAGGGAAAATTATTCACCTGGTTGGAAGTACTCTCATTGGGAAATGAAAGGAGTTCCCCTTAGAATTGAAATTGGTCCCAAGGATCTAGCAAATAACCAGGTAAAAGAGTAAACTGTATTCTAAAAATGTTATTGGTGGATATCATCACTCATGTTTTGAGTTTTTCTATCTTGTTATTTTTTACTTTACATCAATTCAAATGTTCATTAATTAGATTTTTTGACTGATGCTTTGAGTTTTTCTCTAGAATTTGATTTTCTCAGTATCAACCTGAATGCATCCAGTTTTGTAGGAGGATTGTTGTTGGTAGCTTTAACTTGAATAAATAACTAAACGATAAAGAACCATGTTAATGCTGGTGCTTATATTGCTGCAGAACCTTGTATGCCTGTATTCTGATCATTCCAAAGGAGCTTAACAACCGTATTGCATTTCTTTGTTTGCATCGAAGTAAAAAATTGTTTTCTTGATTTGCAAACCAATCCTGATGCCATATGTTATCATGTATACAACAACAACAACAACAACAACAGCCTTTATCCCACTGTGTGGGGTTGGCTACATGATTCCTTTTTCTCCATTGTGCCATATGTTATAATGTATGGATTTTTCAATTTAATAGAAGCTTTTTCAAGGATTCATTTGGTTGCTTGTAGATAGGAACATATTTTAGAAAATTATGATGGCGTTTGTTGTTTTGAAGGAGTTTTTTAGAGTTCAACTTAATATTGATTTCTAATTACATCCAACCAAATGAAGGAGTCTAGTAAATTCATCACTTACAAAAAAGTTTTTTATAACTTCAAGCATTCCCGTGAGTTCTTTACAGAATTTCAAGTGAGACAAGCTATAACTTCCCGGAAAGTGTTTCCAGGTCAAGGAATGTAAACACAAGTTAGAACCTCAAGTCTAAAGATGTCGTTTTAACTGGTATGTTCCAAATGTTGTGACTTACAAATCTATGCTTTAGATTACATACATGTTTAATTGTGCATAACCATACACATGTTCAATCATTGCTGACAGATATATGAACATGGTTTTGACAGCTAACTTTTTTTTGAGTGAACTAAAGTAAATAATTGATTTCAGAGGAAGAAGGCTTTCTTAGTTACAGGAAATGTAGGATAAATATTTAGACTAGGGTTGAGGCAAGACATCACTACCTCAAATTGCTGTTATTTTACTTCATTGACATGCTTTAATAGAGAAATCAATGTACACTGCTTAAACATTTTTCCTCTGAATCCAGAATCTTTTTGCTTTTATCTTCACTCTTCACTGTGATGATTTAAATTTAATTTTTGCAGGTACGTGTCGTCCGTCGTGACAATGGCGTGAAAGCGGATATACCTGTTGCCAGTTTGGTTGAAAAGATTAAAGATGTATTAATCAGCATCCAGGAAAACCTTTTTAATACAGCTAAACAAAAACGAGATGCCAGCATAAAAGTTGTCCAAACTTGGGATGAGTTCATTGCTGCCCTTAATGACAAAAAGATGATCCTTGCTCCTTGGTGTGATGAAGAGGTATGTATCCGTTTTTTTAACAGCGAAGTTGTTTTATGTTGTTTCTCTTGATGAATTCCATGGTGATGGCTTTGTGGATGGGTGTTCATGATGCATTCATGACTTCAACATACGAGTTGTACGCAATTGGAAGATCTTGTGTCATTAGCATGTTCTGTGTGGCATTTGGCATTGTTCCCACATGCATTGTTGGATTGTGATCCTAATGTATACTAACTGGGTCACTGAGCAAGACCTTGATTTTATTTCTTGAGGCAAAACTTTTCATGCTCACTTTCGTTTTGTATCCTGCTATAACTAGCTTACCTTTCGTGGCTGCTTTTTATTTTATTTTATTTTAATGTTACTTTTGAAGGCTCAAACAGTTTCAACTTCCTAGGATTTGCGCGCTTCTTTTATGAAATCTTTCAAGCACTAATAAATTGAGGAATTGAATAGTTTGAATCTATTATATTCATGGAATTTATTTAGCACCAGTGTAGAGTTTTCTTCCTAAATATTGGGTTTTTATTTGCATATGACTTCTCTCGCCTGGAAGTTTTTTTATTTGTGAGGTGGAGGCATGATGGGCGTTTTACCTGTCATGGGGTAGGGCATGGGCGTAGGCGTAGGGCTTGTGAATTTTATATATTTCTTAAATTAAATAATAGTTAAAAATAAAAAATAAGAATAAAATACATGCTTTAGAGATCATTTTAAGAGGCGTCATCAGAGAGTAAAGACCTCTGACTTCTTCAATGAAAGGGACAATATAAACTAATTGACAAGTGTTATTGTGGGCAAAGATAAGTGGTGCAAGTTGGTGGGTTGACTTAGATTAAGCAGCCCCATGAGTTGGCGAGGGAGACAAGTTGATAAGAGGGATTAATTAAGCAAGTAATCAATGTGGGAGAAGCATCAATCAAAATAGTTGATAAGGGAGAAAGTACTAATTGGCACCAGAGAAGCACCAATCAAGTGAGCCTAGGAGGTAGCAAGTCCCCAGGGAGAAATGGTTAGAAAGTGGGGTGGTGATAAACCAACAAACAGTTGTTTGATGTAATTTTTATTTTATAAGCTTCAGAAGTGATTTTTCACCCATATTAACATGGTGATATTGCCTCACCAATGGGGCATAAAAGGCATGCGCCTGATGCCTCACAGTCTATGCGACTTATGCTTGGTAGGTTGAATGCCTCACTTGGTTGCCTCACAGTAACATTGGCTCACCTCTCCCCTTGGCAAGCCCCAACAACGCCTTTTAAAATATTGTTCATGAATGAAAGGTTTGATACATCTTTTTTTATTGAAGCTTTTGGAACTGTTTTATAGTACTTCACTATTAATGATTGTGCTGATAATATATAACAACAGTAACAATATCAAGCATTTATTCCATTACTTGGGTTCTACTTAATGAATCATTTTTCTCCATTGTGTTCTGTTAAGAGCCAAGTTTTCATTTAAATCTAATAAAGAAATGTTATTTCTAATATTTTCTAAAGTTTTTTTAGGTCCACCTCTACCTTTCTTAACATAAGTCAAAAACTAATACATCTACTCTCCTAATCGGGTCATCAGAAGGCTGATGTTTTATGTGACCAAACCATCTAAGGCGGCTCTCTCTACTCTTATCTAGCATTGGAGCAACTCCAACATTTTCATGTATATGCTCGTTTCGTATTCTATCTCTAAGAGTTAAGCTACTCATCCACCTAAGCATTCTCGTCTCTGCAACACTACACTTAATTTTATGCTTCTTTTTTAATGGTCAACATTCTGCACCATAAAACATTACAGGTCTCACCACCATCTTACAGAATTTTCTCTTATGTTTGAGGAGTACTTTTCTATCACACAACAAGCCCGATGCATTCCTCCACTTCAACCATCCAACTTGAATTCTACTAATAATATCCCCATCTATCTTACTATCACTTTGAACAATAGACCCGAGATATTTAAAACATGTACTCTTATTAATGACTTAATTGTTTAGAATCACAGTTCCTTCACTAGATTAATTACTACTAAAATTACACTCCATGTATTATGTTTTAGATCTACTCAAACGAAAACCTTTGGACTCTAAGGTTAACCTTAATATAGGCTATGTAGAGATATCAGGATGAGCTTCTCTTGGAAGATTTTATGTAAATTTTCTTGCATATTATGTTTGTTCAAGATCATATTCAACTACATTTACTCATAACATCAAAGTGAGCATCCCTTTCATGACTGTAATCTGGATGGGATCCCGTGTTAACTTGACATGATTTCATATCAAGGGTAGTTGCCTCTTAATCCTTTTTACTAATTTGAGAGCTTTTGGGAGGTGATGTGGCCTATCTTGCGACAAATTATTTGGTGTTTTCTTTTCCTTTTAGAGTAATTTTATGCTTACAAGAGTAGGAGTTAGAAGGATGATGTTTTTGATAGAGCATTGATGACTATGTAGTTTTGATGGTTGCTACATAGGCAAGCTTTTGAGTTAATCTTGGATATAGTGACTGCTATGGAAAGTGGTGTTGCAGTGTGTCTGGAGGACACGGTTGTGGTGCATGCCCTGAGGTGATGACTATAATGCTAGGAGGCAGTGATAGGTTTAAAGTGGATAAGATTACCACTCAAACATATTTGCTCTGTAGGTCTTGATGGAATCAACTTTGATGCAAGCGAGATTATGATGATTGTGTACAGGAGATGATCACATTGTAGATCTAGAGGTGATGGAAATTATGACACTATTATTGGTGCGACATATCTTTTGAAGGAGACAATTGGCGTGTAAGTGAGATTACGACATAGGCTTATATGTGATGATAACTATGGTGCAACTGCGTAAGTATAGTTTGCAATTTAGGTCTTGAAGAAGACTACCGTAGTGCAAGTGAACTACATGGTAGGTTAGATGGAGACAGTTACGACACAGGTCTAGAGACAATGATGATTACAATGCAAGCATCGCTGCAGAGTTGTCTTAAAGGAGGCAATTGTGTCATATAGAAGGTTATAATGTAGGTCTTGAGGAGATGAACTCAATGAAAGAGGGGTTATGCATTGGTTTGGAGGAGATAATTGTGGCTTAGGTTAGAAGGGGTTTAGGTAACTTCATGTCAATGAAGAAGGCAATATTTGTCTGTTACGGGATAAGCACCCTTAGGCTCATTCCCCTTAAGATATGAAAAGCCATTCTCGGGACATAAAAAGCACCCTTGGATATGAAAAGTCACTCTTGGAATATGAAAAGCCACACTTGGGACCCTCCACACCTTTAATTATCTATTATAGAAGGAAGTGCTGAGTGGTGTGTAAATAGGGCTATTTTCTTTTAGTTGATTATGTGCTGATTGTTGTTTTTAGAGAGGAGTTGATGTTTTCTTGGTTCCTAGCTGCGCCTAGGGTTGGGAGAGCCGATCCACCTCTCCAATAGTGAATCACTTGTATCTTATGGTGTTCTACCATTAATTTTCATTGTTTATTTCGACAACATAATTTTAGATTTCAGTTTTCATCTCCTACGAATCTATTCGTTGTTTTCTCATTGCTTTTACCCTTCAAGGTGTAACAAATTGGTATTAGAGCGAGGTGAATGACAACAAAAAAGATGGATGCATAAGAAGGTGAAGTGGAACAAATCAATGTCAGAATGGAAGAAAGATATTCTGACATGGAAGGAAGGCTCTCATCCATAGAAAATTATTTTGAAAACTTAGAAGATATGATGAAGAAGATGATTGAGATGCAGTTGAAAGCCTCTCTGACCATTCATAGGGCTAAACCAAAGGGAAAGAAAATTCAGGAAGACGATGAAGAAGTGGAGTGTGTTTATTCTCAAGGATCACCACGGGGGGCTTCGATGGTAGGTGAATCAGGGTTTTAGGAAGAAAGGACAATAAGAATGGGGGAGGCTAAGCCTTTTGGGAGACCACCTAAGCATGGTGGGAGGCGGATCGGGGGAGGTAGTGGCTGGGATGAGCCATGGGGGCCAAATCAGCCAAGGGGAATGGAGGAAGGGAGAGAATCATACCATCACTACATGGAGGGAACTTATGGAGGAAGAAGCCATGGGGGTATGGATGTGAGATCAAAAAAGTTGAAGATGTCGATTTTTGAAGGGGAAGATGCTCAAGGTTGGGTGTATTAGGTGGAGCACCGAAGGGAAGGGCATGGAGTTTATTATGGAGGCAATTTCAAGCGCTTACAGATGTGGAGGTGGAGGATAGGCGTGCAAAAAGTTATGCTTTAGGTGTGAGGAGAGATTTACATTGGGACATATATGCAAGGATTGAGCCTTTCAGGTCTTGATGGTCTGTGAGGGAGAGGAGGAGAGTGGGGACGAGCTAGAGGAGGTCGGAGAGGAAATATTACAATTACATTTAGATGTGGCAGAGGTGACCCTAAACTCCATGGTGTGATTCACTCCAAATCACACCATGACAGTGATTACACACAGCCACACGAACTACCTCTTTCAGGATTCTGTATGGGAGGGATTCACCTCATTTGATACATTACGAGAAGAGCATTACACTAGTATCTAGTGTAGATCAGTACTTTGAGGGGAGAGTCGGGATACTAGCAGAACTCAAAGAGCATCTACTGAGAGCTCAACAACTTTTGAAAAATAAGGCAAATGAACACAGACAGGAAGTGCATTTTGAGCCTGGGGACAGAGTTTATTTTAAACTGAGACTATATCGACAACTAAGAGGAAGAATGAGAAGATATCACCACATTACTTCGGGCCTTATGAGGTGACGGAGCGCAATCAGGTAGTAGCCTATCGGCTGAGGTTACCAACATCATCATCAATACACCCAGTATTCCATATATCACAACTGAGGCATGCTATTGGAGATCACACACCTTCTTACTCACTACCTGCGACATTGACTGAATGCATGGAGGTGATTTTGGAATCCATGGAGATCGTTGGAATACGGCAAGGGACAACAAGAACAAAAGAAGTCTTAGTTTGATGGAGGGATCTACCTAATTATGAATCTACGTGGGAATCATATGAGGTGATCAAGAAGCAATTTTCATCCTTCTACCTTAAGACAATGTACTTGTTTGGGAAGGAGTATTGTTGCTGGATTAGCACCCATAGGCCCACCTCCCTTGAGATATGAAAAGCCATCCTTTGGACATAAGCCACCCTTGGGATATGAAAAGTCACCATTAGAACATGAAAATTCACACCTTTAATTACCTACCATAGAAGGAAGTGCTGAGTGGTGTATAAATAGGGCTATTTTCTTTAAATTGAGTATGTGTTGATTGTTGTTTTTAGAGAGTAGTTGATATATTCTGGGTTCCTAGCCGCGCCAAGGGTTGGGAGAGCTAATCCACCTCTCCAATAGTGGATCACTTGTATCTTGTGGTGTTCTAACATTTATTTACAGTGTTTATTTCGACAATATAATTTTATATTTCAGTTTTCATCCCCTTCAAAGATTAACATTGTTGCACCACTTTATGACAATACATCTTTATGCATTTACTGATAGCAGTGGTAAGGTATTACCGAACCACAATCATGCCCAAAATATTGGTATGTATGTCTGTTAGACCGGTCCTCCTTGGACCGGTCCAGCCCCCTGGGCCGGTCCGGCTTATTTACAGCAGCAAGGGGCCGGCGGCTTCAAAGAGGGGGGAAAGGGTGGGGTCCACTTGAGATTCAAATACAATCTTGGAGCCAAAAAGGAGGAGAAGCAAGGGAAATTAGGTCCTTCTGTATTAATTTTGAATTGTATGCATTAAGTAGGGAGTAAAGGCTAGGGTTAGGGTTAGGTGTTATTTTTTTGAAAGTTCTCTTGTGGTTTTCTTGTGGTGAGGGCTCTAGATCGCTTTCTAGAGATTGGGAGAGTGTATCCTCCTCTCGAATAGAGGATCTCTTGTATCTTTGCTATTTTTCTTTCATCTACTAGTAAAATACAAGTGTTGGGTGATTTTTTCTCCCTTTTTCTCTCAGATTTTCACTGTTTTGGTCCACTATTTTGCTGTTTTCCTGCTGTAAACAGCAGAATTCTTGAGATTTGCTTCAGACTTTGGCTAGGAAATACTTGAAATCAAGTATTTCCTATAAATGTCCTTATGTGGTTGTAGCTAGGGTTGCCCTTTATTTTGACCTGCTCCTAATGTTATTTTGACTTATTTTTATGATATTATCAAGGTGGAGCATCATCGTTTCTTAGAGGTTGAGCCAACAGATAGGAGATGTTTAGGTCCCCAATGCCCCATCTTGGTTATTGATTGGTGAGGGTGCGTAGTGTTCTATAGATATCACCAAACTATCATTTACTGGAAGTCAAATTGGCAGAGAGATTCCACTGCTTTATAGCTTCATGACATTTCACACACAATCAGAGAAAAAAAAATTAGCGAGCATGGGACATAATTTTTGACACAGAAAACTTTCACTAGCAATATATATGAGAACTAAAGGACCTAGCCCAGTTTAAATAATTTTCACTAGTAATATGTATGAGTTACAAAGGTTCTCAAGGTCAATCAAACATGTTTGCTTCTCCAATTTTTTATTTTCTTAAAATACAGAACATAGAATAAAACATAGGAATAAATCTATCGCGGGCTTTAATATCTTGCCAATTAAGCAATATTTGTTAGGGGTGAAGTGCATACATCAATATCTCCCTAGATTTTTCATTTGCGGGAGTTTAATGCACTAGCTGTACGCTTTTGTTTTCTGTATGTCCATAGCACAATACTTTATGTAATATTCCTTAACATGTCTATCTCTTGATGACATTAAGAGTTGCGAACTAGAAAAAAGACATGGTAAAAATGCCATACAAAAAGTGAATTAGTCTGCTACTATTCAGGGTTGGGGATAGGATATATGCAGTGTTACCTTTGCGTTGGAGGGAGTTGTTTTCTTGATTCAGTGTGTGACTATCAGGCATTGTGAAGGCAACCTAATTATTTTTCTTTGCTTGCCCTGTGAAAAATATAAACTTTTGCAACAAAATTTAAGGGGCTATTTTGAGATCACTTTTGTCTTTTTTTTTATATAATTATTTTTATTTTGTTTGTATAAGATATGAAATAAATATGGTTGATGTCTTAAAAACATACTTTTGTTTTCATTGTATTAAATAAATTGATTTATGTGGCGGTAGTGGCAATGACCTACCATTATTAGTGGCAGCCAATCGTGATGGTTGTTTTTAAAGATAGTTAACCACTACAAAATTGTTTTGAGTGTTTTTAAAGTAACTTCATATGTTCTTAATATATATATCATATATTAAAAACACACAAAACAAATATATTCAAAAAAATAAAATAAAATAAAAAAGGTGATCCCCTAAAATGATTTTCAAGAGGGAAAGGATTAGCCAATGCGATAAAGTACAGATTTTATGAGCTTCATGTTGTTATGAGCTAAATGGAATAAATATCATCGGAGAGCAATTATTTGTATTCTCATAACGTACATTGTTTTTTATTTTTATTTTTATTTCTTTCTCTAGCCGGACGTTGTCATTTTTTACGTTGAATTGAACTCCTTGATATTCTACCGTACATTTATTGTTGTCTTCATTCTACTGTTGTTCAGATTTTGTTTTCATGGAGCAAAAACAGGTTGTTTTTGTTTGATTATGTTTTATGTTTATTAGTGTATTTGGTATCTTGTAGGAAGTTGAGAAAGACGTGAAAACACGGACAAAAGGTGAACTTGGAGCTGCTAAGACATTATGCACCCCATTTGACCAACCAAGACTTCCTGAAGGTAAACCACCCGATTTTCAGTTTGAAATATCGCATGAACAGGGCAATTATCATTCTTTGTTATATCTTACGTTTGTAAATAGGTACAATAGCACTTGCAAATGATAAATCTAATATAAAACTACTATTTACTGGAAAGTTGCAATATGTATTTAGAATTGCTTTAGGATACACAACTGAATTTTTAACGATGATTAATTCCTTTTGTTTCATTATTGGTTTACATAGTGTTATTTAAGCCCGCAGCTTAAGTTGCACTATTTTTATGTCAAATTAGATTTTTTCCCCATTAGATTATAAAAAATAATGAATGAGGCATTATTTGTTGCGTGTTCCCTATGCTTGCTATATATATATAAGAACTAGGGAATCTACCCGCTGTCATTCTGAAAAAAGCGCTTGGCAGTGTAACTAATACTTCGTCCGAACCTAGCGAGGCCACCCACAGGCATCGGGCCCACATTTGCTTTGCCCCACTAAAGAGGTGAGGCTGTAGTAGAGGGAATTCGAAACTGGGATGGGAAGTTCCCAAATATGCTCGCCCACCAACCACCCTAAGCCTCGATGGGTCATGCTTGATATCTCTCTTGGTATTAGTCATCTTCTCGATGAGCCAAATAAGCTTTTGTTCGGTGCATGTGCCGATTGCTCAGCAGTTACTGGCTTGGTGTAAAGGAGGTTATCTTAAATTATGATTGTGAGGCAGTTTTACCCATGACCTAGGTTTAGAGGATCCATGAAATCTTTAGTGCCGAGTTTTGAATGAGAGCGATGCCATTAAAGGCGATAAGATCTCACGATTGTTAGCCATTTTGTTTAAGTTTATTGATTCTACTACTGCTCTTCTACATTTGTCCAGGTACGCTATGCTTTGCATCTGGAAAACCTGCCAAGAAGTGGACATACTGGGGTCGAAGCTATTAAACGCAGCAGATAACTCAAACGTTAAAAAAGCTACCATACAAATTTTACTTCTTCCAAATGATATCAACGCAACCGTCCATTTTTCTATTTATCATCGATTTTGATTCAAGTTTTTGCCCTGAAGAGTTGCAGCTTCAAGCGATTTGAAAATTTGATATTTTTCCTCCCTGAAGGCAACAGCAACTATATTGTCCATCATTACTCCAAAGCCATAATTTTAATGATTTGATTGTGTTTCTTCGGACTATTTTTATCTTTTTATTTGAGTTATATATAATTGATTTGTGTATTCGGCTCACCTAATTGTTTGAAGATATATAGGCTTCCTTTGGAACGGCTTAAAATAATTTTTTAGTATAAAAAATTATTTGAACTAGAAAACTGCTTTGAGGTTTTGTTTGGGACGACTTTCTTACTGCTTCTTAAAACAGTTTTCTAGTACAAAAATTAAAATTTTTGTATTAGAAAGCTGCTTTAAGAAACATAAAGGAAGCCACCCCAATCGAAGCCTAAGAAACAGTAAGAAAATTATTCCAAATGAAATCATAATGTTTTAAGGTGTTGCTTTTAGGGGGTTTTTTTTTTTAGGTGGTTTGGTTTGATGTTTTTAAAATGCATGTATTTTAGAACTATATGAGGTTGATTTGAAGAAAATCAAATGCAGTGAAATATATAAAATTTTAATTTTAATATATAGAGTTCATTGAATATGTTCAAATTTTAAATTTAACAAAAAAAAATATTTCAAACTACTTACATAAATATTCTGGATTTAATTCATTTCAAAATAAATATACAAATTTTAAAACTCTTCCTTTTCTTTATTTTACATTCTTTATTCTTCTAATTAAAAAGACCGTTAATCATGATATTTGAGAAATTTTGCAAATATTCTGAGAGTTTAAAATTAATAATAATTTTATATCAGAAACTTAAGCTGGTAATTTTTTTTTGTATTTAAGAAATTATTATTATTATTTTAATATATAACAAATAAACGGGGAACATTCCTTTCAAGGTTTTGTTTGTGACGGATTTTTTTGTTGCTTTTTAAAGCTTTTCAGTACGTAATTTTTTTGCATTAAAATATTTTTTATATTAAGCCACCGATGTTTAGCTTGGTTGGTGGACAAGTACAGTTGGGTACCCGTTAACTCGTATTCGATTCCCTTTGAGCGGCAGTGCCTTTTAAGTGCGGTTCAATTAAGTGTGGACTAAGAGGTTTTGGGGTGGGTGTCTCTTCTAGGTCAGCCGAGGATGACAGCGTCGATTCCCTTTGAGCGGCAGTGCCTTTTAAGTGCGGTTCAATTAATTGTGTACTAAGAGGTTTTTGGGATGGGTGTCTCTTCTAGGTTAGTCGAGTCTTTTGAGGATGACAGCGAGTGGATATTCTGTTTTCAAAAAAAAAAAGGCAAAATAAAAAATAAATAAAAATTATATTGAAAAATTACCTTTGAAAGCTGTAGGAAAATTCTTCGAAACAAACAACAAGTTGCACCTTTCAACAACAGTTGAAAACACTTTATGACAATTACTATAAAAGAAGATATCTACACATAAGTGATAAGAAAATGATAATATTTATAATAAAATTTATGAGAGTTATGCATATTGTAGATAATTTATAAAAGAAATATTTTCATCTTCTTGATTTTTCGTTATCTTGGCCTTTCATTTTCACTTCTCATATCCCATATGTTGAATCCTTGCTCTAGCGAGGAATAAGCATTTTCTCTTCTTGGTCTTGAGAGAGGAGGGAGAGAGGAAGGGAGAGGGAGAGCAGCAAATCAACAAATTTTATTGCTTGACCCCCAACTAGCTTATTACAATCTATATCTATTTATAGACACCTAAAAGCTATACAAAAGACAACATCAATGACTATACAAGCCATAAAAACAACTTAAATCTAGGACCAATATCTAACAATTCTTCACCTTGGTCATAAATTTACACACGAAAGAAAAGATAACTATTGTTCACAAAGAACAACCCCGCCGGTCTTCTCCGCCAATAGAGTCCACCGGACAATTAATAATTTTCTCAAGAACTGCTCAACCATCTTCTTGAGTTTCCTGCTTCATGAGCTCTAGCTCCACCTTCCGACAGATCTTTTCCTGTCACACTGCGTCCCACGCAGTCAATTCCCGAGCACCCCTTATGTACCTCGCTTTTGCGCTCTGTGCATCCACCTGGACCCTGCGCCTCGTGCCCGTGCCCGTGCCCAATGCCTCCAGCCCACGTTCTACGCCTCCAGCCCGCGCTCGCGCTTCAAGCCCATGTCCTGCGCCTCAAGCTCGCGCATGCGCCTTGCACTCATGTGTTCTGACTCCAACCACATCCTGCGCGTATTCACCCGAGCACCGAGCCCCGTGCATTCACTGCACCCTGCTCGTCATAATCCCACGCCCTGCACTGCCGCATTCGGCCAGCGCCATGCGTGTCCTTCACCAGTGCCCTGTGCTCCTATGCGACCTCTTTGTGCACCGCAAAACCTCGCACCTCAAAGTGCCCCGCACTCCTAGCACTGCCCCTCAAGAATAGGCCGACTCCACTTATATCCCCCGGACTCTACCTAAAATCCAAAAACTCTACCTCAAATCTTGACCGATCTTTAACCAAGAAATGAAAGATCATGCTTCTTCCGGCAACCACAACTCGCGAGCCCGTCCATCTACTCGCAATGTCCTGTCGTTTTGCCTCCAAACAACAATCTGTCCCTTCTCATCAAAGCTCGACGCCAACCTTCACTAGGCCGCCGTCGAAGCCACCTCTCGCTTCTCTGGTCAACCGCTCGGATTTCGGTGAGACAACCCTCTTTCGCCTCGACTGCCTTCGAGCCGCACAAGTCCGACGCTCTGCTCTATTCCGGGACCAAAACAAGCCCATTTTCTCTCTGTTTCGCCTGATCAAGACTCCCGCACGCGGATGCTCATAAACTAACCCGGCCAAACTCTCGTGGAAGACCGCCTGGACCTGCTTCCACCTTTTCACGCAAGAAAAATGATTGTGTCCACCTCCTTACTCACGTCCGAGTTTAGCCGCCGACCGCACCTCCTTCTTTGAAACTTTTTCTTTGGATAAGAAAACTACCTCTCCTCCACCTCGAGATCACCGCCACCATGGCTCTGATACCAGATGTAGAATCTTACATCAAAGAGAGAAGGGAGAGAGAGAAGGGAGAGTGAGAGCAGCAAATCAACAAATTTGATTGCTTGACCCCCCAACCAGCCTATTACAATCTATACCTATTTATAGACACCTAAAAGCAATATAAAAGGCAACACCAATGGCTATATAAGCTATAAAAACAACCTAAATCCAGGGCCAATATCTAACACTATAATTCATGAATTCAAAATGATATTTCATGTTCTCCAGAAGTTAATTGGACAAAATTAATAACTTTCATAGATAAGTTACTCCATGTTCACTCTATATTTTATATTATTATGTTAAAAAATGATTAAAATGGAGTAGGGACAAAACTTGTTGGGCGGGTCGTCGGGCCGAAGCTGGCCCGTAGGTGTATGGCGTGCGCGTAACCATCCCTCCCTCGCTCCGCCTCTCTCCTGCCGCCCGCTCACGACCAGCGTCCAAAAATCCCTAATGCCTCACTTCAATAAACAAAATCGGAAGTCACAAATCGGCTCAGTGGAATCCGACAAAACCACCCGAGCTCCGACCTCTTCCAACGCGCAAACCAAGAAGAATCCAGCCCTATCCCTTTTTAGATTCGAAACCCTAATCGCCTCTTCCCTCCTCTCCTAAACCTGCATGGAATCCAATTCCGGTGATCACGCCGAAAATGGTCGGCGCGATGATGGTCCCTCCCTCAAGAAACCGAAGCCTTCTTTACTCCCCATAACCGCCGCGGAAATACGCTCGGAGTTCGCCCACCATGACCCAGCCGTCGCCCGCATCAACAACGGCAGCTTCGGCTGCTGTCCCTCCTCCGTCTTTGCCGCCCAATATGAGTGGCAGCTCCTCTTCATCCGCCAGCCAGACCACTTCTACATCAATCTTCTTCAGCCCTCTATCCTCCGATCCCGCCTCCTCGTTAAGGACCTCATCAACGCCGATGACGTTGACGAGGTTTCGCTCGTCGATAATGCCACCACTGCGGCGGCCATCGTTCTCCAGCAAATTTCTTGGGCGTTCTTCCAGGGATCGTTCTCGAAGGGAGACGCGGTTGTCATGCTTCACTATGCCTACGGCTCGGTCAAGAAGTCCATCCATGCGTACGTTTCTCGCGCCGGCGGACATGTTATCGAGGTTCCACTCCCTTTCCCTGTCTCCTCTGATGACGAGATCATTGATGAATTCCGTAAGGCCCTCGCTTTCGGCAAGTCCAATGGCCGCAGAGTCCGCCTTGCTGTTATTGACCACATAACTTCCATGCCTAGCGTCGTCATCCCAGTCAAGGAGCTTACTAGGATTTGCCGTGAAGAAGGCGTTGACCAGGTGTTCATCGATGCTGCCCATGCCATTGGCAACGTTGAAATTGACGTCAAGGATATTGGGGCTGACTTTTACACCAGTAACCTGCATAAATGGTTCTTCTGCCCTCCAGCGGTGGCGTTTTTGTATTCTAGAAAGTGCACGGCTTCAGCTGATCTACACCATCCGGTTGTTTCTGACCGTTACGGAAGAGGCCTTCCTCTTGAGAGTGGTTGGATTGGCACACGGGATTACAGTGCTCAGCTGGTTGTGTCATCAGCGGTCGAGTTTGTAAATAGATTCGAAGGAGGGATTGATGGAATTCGGAAAAGTAATCATGAAAAGGTTGTCGAGATGGGAAATATGTTGGCGGAAGCATGGGGGACTTATACTGGTTCACCGCCAGAGATGTGTTGTAGTATGATCATGGTTGGGATGCCTGGATGTTTAGGGGTTGCAAGTAGTGATGATGCTTTGAAGCTTCGGACTCACTTGAGGGATAATTTCCAAGTTGAGGTTCCCATTTATTATAATCCTCCAAAGGCTTTTGAGGAGCAGGCAAATGATTCAGTCAGCCTGGTTACAGGGTTCGCTAGGATTTCTCACCAGGTTTATAATACAGTGGAAGACTATTACAGGTTCAGAGATGCAATTAACAAGCTTGTCCATGATGGTTTTACTTGTAGGATGCTTTCGTCTTGAGAAATTAGAGGTTTGCAATTTCACATTCATTTTTCAAGCATCAGTTTCTTCTCTTGTTCAAATGCATTGCCTGTAATATGTTTGTTTGAAGTGTTTGATTGATTTTTTTATGTACCTTTTTTTTTCCTTCGGGCAAACATATGTTGTTTCATTGTTTTTTGCAATGCTACTTGGATTATTATTTTTTAAACAATTATGGTGTCACCTGCTTTGAGACCATAATCCTTCATGATTATCCTCTAAAGCGGTGCGCCTCCTGCTTCGTGCTTCAATAGGCTATTTAGCTATTTCAATCTTTCCCTTTGAACTAGAGAAAGCTAGGTTGCACAGAATACCGGCAATTAACCTTGCATTTTGTTCAACTGTTTTCTATAGGTGATTTAATTGTTAATTTTAGTGATTTCCATTGTTTCTTTTGGAGTTGATTTTTAGGAGAAATTCCCAAATTATGTTCATTATGTTCCTTTTTTGTGTAGCAGAACGATGTGATATTCTATTTGGAAGTCAAAATCATAGTGTTGATTGCTTCAAGTTAGTTTTGGAAATGTTATTTCCCTTGGACATGTTGTTTTATGTTGTATTGGTTGTGCATTTAGAAGGGATGTAAAAGGTTTTTCTTATGCTGCAAATTCAACTCAGATTGATCATGAATTATTTGTTTCATTTAATGCTTTTGTAAGATTTTGCTATTTTGACAGAAAAGAGAACTATTGTCTCATTTAAGACCCTTTCTTTAAATTTTACTAATTGCACGTAAAAAAGGCACTTGCCAACTCCAATTAATAGGGATAAGGCTAATGATAATAACATAAAATTAGAACATTCTAGCTTCAGGCATCTAGTGTGGATATTATCCGGATTTAATGTTTTGTATATTATTTAAATGATAAACTAGATGCAAAAAAAAGATTTATAGTCATGGAATATATATGATTTTGCATTTGAGACTAAATTTGAATGTGCATTAGAACTTATATTAGAATAGCTGCCAGAGTTAGTAACAGATCCTATTCTTGAATTTGGCCTTGTAATTGAATTAGAGTACAAAATTGAGTTTGAGATCATATATGAGAACCCAAATGAGTAGAATCTAAATTTGTCCTTCACTTTGAAATGGAGTTGAGCATATTGGGTCAAGTTGTTATATCAGTTGAACGAATTAATAATGTAATTCGTAAGAAATCATCTATTTATATTATCACCTTCGACTAATCAAACTAATATCGGTTTTTTAGTTTCATTATTTTAAAATTCATTAAAATTATTTGTTTAGTAAGCCAATTTCATCAATGTTCCTATGGATATATTCATGATAATTTTCAAGAAAATTTGAAATTTCTAACTTATTTATTTGGTTGAATGCAAATGTAACTAAATCATTATGATTAATCTTTAAATCATTTGAAATAATTTTCTTTAAACAGATTTTAGCTTGATGCTATATGCATAATATTTATATTGTTCTTCAATTATCAGAAGAAATTTCTATGAAATCTTATAAATATTCATCTTTTCCTCTTTTGGAATTATCTTTAATGTATCAATTAGAAAGTTTATAAAAAATTTATCCTTACCCTTGAAAACATTATAACCTGTTATATTACCTATCATTCTCATGCATGATTTGTAGGAAATTATTTTTTTAGAAATTTCTTGTTAACTTTAACAATTATGAGTATTGTAAATGTTAATAGATGATATTCGAAATTTAAAGAATTCGTTAAGTTCATGATCCATCAAAATGTTAAAAATATGATCAAATAAAATATATAAAGCTATGCAATAAATTAATATGAATACATATTAGTACTTATAAAAAATATTTACATTAATCTAATTTTTAATGTATTTGATATGACATAATATCATGAACTAACGAGGATTCTTCTCTCTTTGCACAACTTCTTTTTGGTTTCATGTCCGATGCATCATTTGCACTTTTTTTAGGCTATCATATTGAACTTGTGCTTGAAGTTATTATTGGTAATAAAATGGTTGTCAATTGCTACGGATGATTATCAAAGATGTCTTATGTTGTGGAGTGACAGGCCCACAAAATTGATATTTCAAGTTAGGAGAAATGATGCGGTGACTCTTGCTCTTATTATCTCTTCATCTCTTACAACTTTTCCTTTTTTTAAATTTCTTTATTTTTTAATGGAATTTTTTGTTGCTCCTTTATTTCCATTTTTTGCAGTTCTTTGTTCTATTTCTGCAGCTATTTTATTTTTATTTGCGCGAACTACTTTTTGGGCCTTTATTTGCGGCTAGTTGGCCGGATTTTTGGGTGTTTCATCTTTGAAATTCTTAGGAAACTACTGGTCAACCATGTAGTTGGCTACTTGAAGAGCTTTGTGAGGATGCTCAAGGACTTCTTCGATTATAATTGCCTTTTGACTTGTAAATCCTCCTTTCGGGACTCAATTCTTTGATAAAGTTTGAGATTGGAGGAGTTTTGGAAGAGTCTTTCTCCATGTTCAAATGTTAGGTTTATTTTTCAGTGACTTATTTCTTTTTCTTCCTTTCCCATCTTCTTTTCATTATGCTTTTTTGTTATGGGTTGCAAGCATGATTTTTTTTGTTGCTTATGCCAATTGTTCTATCCTTTTGTTAGTTTTATTTCTTTAATGATGTTTTAATATTTTTTGTGGTATTGATGATCCTTAATTTCCTGATTATTATTATTTGTAATTGAAGGCTAAAACTATTATTGGTTTTTGGTTTTCAAAGAAAATCCTATTTAAAGATTAATATGTAATCACGTGTTTCTTGTTGCATTGATTAATTACATCTTAATCTATATTGTGTGCTTGATTTTATTAACATCCTTAAACCCTAGATAGTCCCGCGTCAACACGCAAATGAATCTCTTAATGAGTTATGTTCTCAATATAAAAGAATCTTACAACCCAATGAAGATTGAAAGCATCTCCAATGGAACGGCAAACAACTGTTTGCCGTTCTTCCGTCCCTCCAATTAAGCGGCAATTATTACGTCATTTCATCGCGGGTGAACAGTGCGACCCCAATATTGGCGTTGCACTGTTCATCTTCGCCATTTTTTGGTCTCTACCGAACTTGCAGAAGAAATGAGCGAAAGAAGTGAACGATCGTTACGGGGCAAAATGGAGTTCGATTGGAGATGAATCACAACAATTTTTTAGTTTCACGGCATTTTGGAGTGAAAAATGAGATTTTCGGTTGGAGATGCCCTGAAGGGACATGAAAACCAGGTGACCAGCTAATAGAGCGACCAACTCCTACTTAGAATAACTTGCTATGATCTGCCAATAGTTTTGGTGCAGATTAATCAAATCATTATACATCCTTCTTTTATTTCTATGCGACATTTTTACTATTTATTGTTGCATTGTTTATTTAACCATTTTGAAATTTGTTCTCTACAGTTACTTGAAGCTGGAAGAAACTGCTGCTCTCAGGTTCATGATTTGGCTTGTGATTTGGAGTTCTTCGAGTGACTGGAAATGATGTAAGGGCTAATTTCTTGTTGTCGCATATGTTGGTGTAGCTTGTCGCTCGCTCTTGTGACAAATACGCTTGGTTTGTTTCATTTCATTCTAACACCTGTAGTTGCTTAGAAATGTTCTAGTATTAACATTTCAGTTTTGAAGAAATGCTTGGAATAAATAGGCCCCCTATATCCTGCAAAATGTATGATGCTTTCAAGTCATTATTTGCTTGCTTGTTTGTTCCCTTGCTTGGTTTATGCTTTTGCAAAATCCCTGCTAGAATTTAGAATCATGTGGAATGTGCTGAAAGATGTATTAGCTTGACATGTCTTTAACAGGCTTGAGTTCAATTCTCCGACTTGACACAAAATTATGTGCTATATGTTATGAGCATATTAGGCTTTCTTATTGCTTTGTAAAGTTGTTTTTTAAGTAAAAAAATCTCGTGAAAATATAGAAAAAGCAGTGGTCTAAAGCTGTCCCGAACGAAGCCTTACTTTTTAATTAAGATTGTGAATGTTTTTTTTTTAATGGCAATAATGCTTGTTATGTATGGGAAGAATTTACATGAATTGAAAGTGTGTTACACTTGTTGTGTAGCTTGATGATTTGGGACACATACTGAGACATCTATTTTATTATATGGAGACCTTCTAGTCTTAGATTAATTATTTTGTGCCGCACATCGAACATAATTTGGAGACCAATCAGAATGTGTCACGTCACCCCTATGCTCGATACTGCAACTCGTTACTGTGTTGGTATTGGTGTTGTGTATTACACATATTGGATGACGTGACGTGTTTTGGTTAGTCTTCGGACCATCTGGTAACCGCACAGAATAATTTCTCCTACTACTAACCCCAATAGTAATCAGTGTCATTGCCAAAATAAAAATAATCAATACTTAGTAAGATATTAAAAATATTTTTTATGTTATGTTAAAAAATAAATAAAATAAAAAAAATATGATCACACTTTGCATAAAAAATATGCTTTGTTCAATCAAGATTTTATGATCTAAGAAATTGGTCATTGTTTTTTAATGTTTTTTATAAATGAGCTAAATTTTTTACAAAGATTTTTAGAACAATCTTTTTTTTTTAATTATTTTAAAGTTATTTTTTTACTTTCGTAGGTGTTCATCCTTAATTTTGATGATATTATTTTGTCCTCCTTAACAAAGTTTTTCTAATTATTTTTTCTACTTTTCTGATTATCTCTACTGAGATTGCAAGCTTTCTTCCTCTTTTTTAGGAAGGTATTCTTATACATTTCATTGAATTAACAGAGTTAAAGTTGATACCTTCAATATTACTATACTTTGCTACTAATGGACCGTCATAAATAACTTTGTAAGAAACTTTGTTGAAGTGAGCTATATAATCCTGAAGTTACCCCTCCTTTACACAATTCTCCTTGGCCTATTGGTTGAGAGCTTAGGCTTCCAACTAAGAGGTTCAAGGTTCGAGTCTATGTGTATGTGTTGTGTGTGTGAGTTTGCCTTAATTGGCCTAAATGTCCCAAAAAAAAAAAAAAGAAGTTACCCCTCTTTTTGCTTAATAATGCAAATAAGCATATGAGCGGCCTTCTGCAACCTCTATGAGGTAGAAATTATGACAAAAATTGAAAAAGAATATTCTAGTGAGAGGCAGATACAAGAACTACTGATGTAGTACATCAAGTTGATGAGGATAATCAAGTTAAAAGTCCAATTATAAAGGTTAAGACCAATGCCCAAGAAAATGAACAAAGAAATGATCCAATTACAATAGCTCAATAATGAGCCCATAGTTTTAATATATAAACGTAATTTATACTTTACTTTTCATCTAGAAGCTTTTTTTTTTTCCATCTAGGAGCTTATATGATTAACAATGAAATGGTTAGGTAAGGATGAGATAATAAAAAATGGGTATGTAAAACTCCCCATTAATATCCACTAACCCCTCCCCCCATTTTTCCTTCAATTTCTTTTCCAAAAGTTAAATCATTTAATGCCTATAAATATGGGCCGATATACATTGTAATTTTCAATTTTTAAAATAAAATAAATTTATGGAGAAGTTCCTTTCATTTGTTTGGTGCTTGATGGCTTTAAGCGTATGTCTTTTTGAGTGAGAATAAGTTGTTATATGTAATTAACGAGGCGGGAACAGACGGCTGGACTGCTGGACAGTAGATTAAATTTTCAATTACTAATTGTATATCCAATGCATTGAAAGAACAACTAAACTTCAAAAAAAAAAATATATAAATTGAATACCTTTCTTCCAAAATGTCACGTCTATGGTACACAATTTCACATCTTCTATTCATTTTGATTAAAATAAGTTCTACTTGAAAATTTTAGAGCAACAAAAAATAAGTCACAGTTTAGTGAGTAAAACATACTTCTAATTTATAATAACTCAAGGCAATTAAAACAATATCCATGATTCCTTTTCATTTCATATCATAATATAATTTATTTTAATTATATTATTTCATCAAGACTTTCAATATTATGCATAAATCATATATGTCATATATAAATAATATTTGTATTCATAACTTTCTCATTTCTCATAAAAAATACAACAATCATCGGAGCCGCCGTCTAATTTATTAGCAATGAAGGTACTCCTTTTCCATTTCCTTTCTATTTTCCATAACATTTTTCATTTACGTGCATGAGTACATTGCGTCACCAGTCAGTACCACAAGGGGTGTGCTCCATCAGTTAACATGCACATACAAGTATTCTACATAAATCATATCATTCATTTACTTTCTATGAAAATATATATTATGACACATATTTTCATTTGATTCAATATGATCAATCATTGGGGAAAAAGACCGATCATAATCTAATTTGTAATAAATACTTAATAAGCAATAAACAGATAGCAGCATCTTTCAATATATTTAATTTAAGAAAAAATAAAATTGTTACTGTAATTAAAAGACATGAATACTCATCTTGAACTTAAAAAATGTGTTGTTTCACTTTTACTCATTTACGGTAGATATAAAGCCTATAAAAGATTACTTCATTAAATTTAATTAATTAATTGCTCTTAATTTCCTCTAACTTAATAATCACTCTGTTGCCGACAGATTAATACCTACAATTACATTATATTTTATAATTTATCTTCAACTCATAATATTCTCAAATTTTAACATTAAAATTACTCTCATAATTCTAATAATCAAGTATTGTTTTATTTTTTTATAACGAACATGTCAATAAAGACTCTTTGTATTAACATCATGTAATGTACTCCATAAGATGTACATCAAGCTAAGATCTTCCACCAAGGAAGGGCCTCATTTGTAATCGACTGCAATACTAGTGGATTCATTCAAACTGGGCTAGGCCCCGTGGTTTTTCCCCCTTTTCAAGAGTTTTCCACGTAAAAATCTTGGTATCTCGTAAATGCTAGACCCTCTCTCTTTATCTGATTGCGTGCCGGATTTTCGTACAATGCTAAGATGATAAACTTTATATTTCTCTACCGCCACGAATACTCCTGGACGCAACACTACTAATATGGACCATCATAAATAACTTTGCAAGGCACTTTGTTGTAGTGAGCCATGTAATCCTTAGGGGTGTTAATTTTTGACACGACACGAATCCGATCCAGAAAAATCCAGGTTAGGGTCAACCCGGATCCGAAACAAGTCGGGTTCGTGTTCAACAAATCAACTCGTTTTAAAAAACGGGTTGAGTTCGGGTTGACCCAACAACCCGAAATTGACACAAAACTCGTATTAGACCCGAAACCCATTTTGAACCGATTTTTTACACCAAAACTAGCAATTTTGGGTCAACCCCGGGTCATTCATGTCGGTTCGAGTTGACCCGGACCCGAATCGGGTTGGGTTCGGGTCTGAGAACCTGACCCGTTTTTAAAAACGGGTCGTGTTCAGGTTGACCCGAATAGTGTCGTGTCAGTTTCGAATTCAACCCGAACCCGATCCGTTGACCCGAATTTACACCCCTAGTAATCCTGAATTTACTCCTCTTTTTGCTTAATACAAATAAGCATATGAGTGGCCTTGGGCAACCTCTATGAGGTGAAAATTATGCCAAAAATTGAAAGAGAATATTCTAGTGAGAGGAGGCAAATAAAAGAGCTACTGATGTAGCACATCATAATCAAATTAAAAGCCTAATTATAAAGGTTAATACCAAAGCTCAAGAAAAGAATCAAAGAAATTATCCAATTACAAGAGCTCAATGATGAGCCTATAGTTTTAAAATATTTTTAACGTAATTTATACTTTAGTTTTAATCTAAAAGATTTTTTTTTTTCATCTAAAAACTTATATGATAAAAAATGAGATGCTTACGTAAGGATGAGACAATAAAAAAATGGCTATATGAAACTTCTCCTTAATATCCACCAACCCCTCCCCCTATTTTTCCTTCAATTTCTTTTCCAAAAGTTAATCTTTTAATGCCTAAAAATATGGGCCGATATACATTGTAATTTTTTATTTTTGAAATGAAATAAATTTATGGAGAAGTTCTTTTCATTTGTTTGTTGCTTGATGGCTTTACACGTGTTGCGGATCTGTTTTCATGGATTATATTTTTGATGATAGCAAACACTCTTATTTCTCTACGACTGCCTTATCTACTGACTTTTCAGGTCTACAAGATCATACTACAATTTGGAATCAGCTCAAGATTGGGTAGACTAGGTCTGAGTCAGTTTGTACCACTTTTTCCTTTCTTGAGTCTATTGTATTTGGTGTGGCTCCTTATGCTATGTAACTTTACACACACACATCTTGGAAGATTTTCTGTCTGTTCCCTAGAGTTTATTGTTTTTGGTAACATCGTTCGGGACGATATTTATATCGGCCTGGACGATCGGTTAAAAAACAGAAACCCTAATTAGGGCATCATCCTCATTAAGGCAGCCGTCATTAAGCCGATCGGCCTGGACGATCTTTGTATCGGCCAAGACGATAGGCTCAAATCAGAAAGAATCAGCCGACATGATCAATTTAGGTATTATTTATTTCAGGACATCGGCCAGGACTATGCAGCACAATTATGCCTAAATTAATCTGGTAATTATGGAAAGCAATTAAGGCTGATTGATAAGATCACATCGGCCAGGCCGATCGCAGGATAGGTCAGGACGATGTCCTGAACGATTGACATCGGTCAGACTCTATTCCAGGCGATATTCAGGACGATTGTACTCGGATTTGAACTAATCGGCCAGGACAATATTGTATCGGCCTGGACGATGTAAAAAATTTTCTTCAGATCGTCTCAAATCGTCCCGGCTGATTGAGCTTATTTTGTACTGATCGGCCAGGACGATATTCATATCGGCATGGACGATAAAGTCGACAAGTTGCATTAATGAGCTCGTTTTGAGCTCTTCTATTTAAGCTTTGACAAAGCACTTTGTAAGTGTCTTTGGCAGCCATTGTAGCTTCATTCTTTTGGGGGAAACTTGAAGAGAGATCTTGAAAGTGAGTGAGGAACGGGTGAAGTTTGAGATAGGGAGAAGATCCTGTGAGGGGGGACTCAAGGGAGTGTGGAGGGGGATTCCACAAGGTTGCTCCGGTAAGCTTGCACCTTAATACCGTCGGATTCAAGGCTCGTCTTGAGGGAAGTTCACAGAAGAAGAAAATCTCTTTGGTGTCAAAGGACCCGGTGACTCCGCCGCACAGGGGAAGGTGGAAGTGATTTTGTAAGGGCTTCTCCGCCTAGGTGTGGGGGCTAAATGACAGACACTTAGTTTAGTGCAATACTTGGAGGTTGCCTCCAAGGAGTGGACGTAGGTCAAGGTTTGACCGAACCACTATAAATCTGATGTGTTCTTTCATTTATTATTTCCGCATTTAATTTTCGCATTGTGTTTTTTATGTGGTGAATCTTGGTTAGTGTTTTTGATCGCATGATATTTTAAAATATCGATTCACACCTTTTTTGTTAGCCTTGGGACTAGTTCATATGGGCCTAACATCCCTAACGAATTTTCAACACGTATGTCTTTTTGAGTGAAATTAAGGCTTCATTTGTGACGGCTCTCTTACTGTTTCTTAAAGCAGTTTTCTAGTACAAAAATTAGTTTTCTTTAAGAAGCAATAAAATAGTCGTCCCAAATGAAGTTTAAGTTTTTATATTTATTTATTTTATGTTACTTATAAATCTTCTTAAACACCTACTCTAAAATACTTACAACTGTTCCTCCACTTCATAATCATCATCTAAGACTAATAAACCAACAATCAAATTCATGAAAACCCCATAAACACTTCCATATAACCATTAGCACAAATAGAGAATAGTTGGACATAGTCTTATTCTCTACCCTTCATCCTTTTAAACTCCACCAAACCCTATTATCAACTTCAAATCACAAGTTAACATCCTAATCTAACATTTCACAATCATTTATAACAAATTATCTCACATAAATGTCACTCTCCAAAGTGATCTTCCAAATCAACTCAAATCAGCCAAATTAGACTAGTCTTAGCATTTCTACTAATATACCTCTCTAAATCACTCATCATTCTACCATAAACTCCATAAGCCTTCTCTAAATATCAAATTAAAAATCCATAGCTTTCTCTAGCCATTAATCTCACCAAAAAGCTACCAACAACCATCAAATACTAGAATCAAAATCTAAATTAAGAAGTATGAATGATAGTTCATCCTTTTAAAAATCCTTGAAGGCATTGAGAAGCTCCATATGATCAATAATTCCCTCATACATGTTAAGTAGTGTCTTTATGAACTTTCAAGGAACTAATTCCTCTAGAATCTCTAGTGTAAGAGGAGAAGTATGAATAAGTTCTTTTATAAGTGACAATGTTCTCAACATCAATTAGAGGGCTTTTCTCTTTCAATATGCTAACTTGGGCATGAGGTAACCGAGTAGAAAAACAGTAACTGAGCAACCACCTCAGTAAATTGATTATCACACATAAATCAGTTTCTTTTGAAGGACAAAAAAATCAAGTAAGAGAAATGCATCTTATTTGGGGAGTTCAGATGTATGGGAAACTTCTAATGAATGAACAGAATCTCTAACAACTTGATTGATAAATAATGCAAGAAATGGATAACAAAGGTGAAAAGCTACAAGGAGAACAAACTAATAACCTTATGAGACAACTTAAAAAAGGGGATGTAGGACCATTTATCAAGTGGAACCTGAGTGAAAAGCTACCAAAGAAGCATAAGCTCCATCCTTCATATTGATCAATCCTTCATGATTTCCTTTCTCTATGATCACTCCATTTTTTACTACTGCAATGAGATCAGCATTTTTTATTGTGGTTAGCCGATGAGCAATCACTATAGTAGTCCGAACGACCATAACCCTATCCAATGCATCCTGAACAATTCCTTCAGATTCAGCATCAAGTGCACTTGTAGCCTCATCCAAGAGCAAAATTCTTGGCTGCTTGATAATGGCTCGAGCAATAGCTACCCTTTGTTTTTGACCTCCAGATAGTTGGACTCCTCGCTCTCCGACCATTGTGTTATAACCCTGCAAGTTAGTTTTTCAAAATAAACAGTCAGTGACGTTTATTGTGAAATGATTCATGAAATAGATTTTAAAAATTAAAAGAAAGGATATTAATTTACAAAAATTTAAAGAAAGGATATTAATTTACAAGTAGTATTGATTAATAAATCTTTCTGAAGACATACTAAAATATGCTATAGGGGGTGTCAATATTTGACCCGACCTGAACCCCGACCCGAAAATTTCGGGTTCGGGTCAACCCGAATCCGAACCGGATTGGGTTCGGGTTAGGGATTTCGACCAGTTTGTAAAACCAGTTTGGGTTGACGTGGAAACCCGAAATCAACCGGGTTTGACCCTCTTTTAATTAATTTAGGAGGGTTTTAAAAGATTGTTATGAAATAAGTAAATGATATTACAAAAAAAAATTATAAACATTGTTTTCCAAATTAAATTAAGCTTGATTTATTTTAAATTGATTGAAGTAAATCTTACCTTAATTTGATTTAGATTTAAATAAATTAAATTAAATAAAAAAATTAGTAAAACAAATCCGAAGCGGGTCGGGTTCGGGTTCGGGTTCGGGTTCGGGTTCGGAAACCGACCCGTTTGCAAAAAACAGTTCGGGTCGAGTCGAACAATGTCGGGTCAGTTTCGGGTTGGACCCGAACCTGACCCGTGACCCGATTTTGACAGCCCTGCTGTAGTTTATGAATGGTGATCTAACCTGCTGTAAGCTACAAATAAACTTGTGGGCGTTTGCTGACTCTGCAGCTGCTAAAATCTCAGCTTCAGTTGCTTTTCCTTCCTTCCCATAAGCAATGTTCGCTCTTATTGTATCATTGAACAAGACTGGTTCCTGACTCACCAAACCCATCTGTTTCCTCAACCATTTTAGCTTAAACTTTTCCAGTTCTATTCCATCCAGCATAATATGACCCGAATCTGGATCATAAAATCTCTGCAGCAGTGCTATTGCTGTTGACTTACCACTACCGCTCGCACCTACCAATGCAACAGTCTATAAAGGAGAAATAAGACCGTTAGAATTCAAATTTTGCTCCCAAGACAGCTAAAATTTTACATCCACAACTAACGCAGCAAATATATTACCTTTCCAGATTGAACAGATAAGCAAAAATCCTGGAAAACTTGAACATCTGGCCTTGAAGGGTACTTGAAACTAACATGAGAGAATTCTATGTGGCCTTCCAATGTTTCTAAAGTCATCCCAGAGTTATCGCTTGGATTAATTTTGGATTTGCGGTCAAGAATGGCAAAAATAGAAGCTGCAGCAGATTTAGCTTTAGATGAGTCGGTTGCTAGGGAGCTCGACTGAGAAATTCCAATGGCTGTCAATGAAAGGGTGAAGAAAACCTGCACCACAGAGAACATTCTTGCGTCTTCTTTAACAAACATTGATACTTCAATAGTGTGTATCAAGTAAACTTTAATCAATAACAATATTCTTTTTTATTTAATTAGACAAGAATCATAAGATTTCATTATTAAAAATGAAGTAGTTTAATTTTAACTTTCATTCTAGAAGCAAATGAATTAATTAATTAAGATCATTAAAAATACTAAATTTTTCATTTTTTTTAATTCTATCACTTTGCTGTTGGTGCACTTGCAAGTAATTCAAATATATCATTTACTATTTTAATTTCTTAACATATTATAATTGGATTACAATTATATTATAATATTTAAAATCTTCGACGGTATATCTATTATAAAATTAAAATTTTCATTTCAAATTAAGAAAAGTATATATGCCCGTAAATTCAATTATATCTTCAAATTATATATGGAATAAAAAAAATGTCTACTTGAGACAGCTACATCATTCTATAAAGTTGATTGTGAAATTGATGTAGATAAAGCAACTTCACTATTATGATTTCAGAAAGCAACTTCCCACTATAGAAATATCTGAAAAGCAATGAGAAAGTAATAGCCAAACAAAATAATATTGATTTTCTACATAGCAAAGCAAGCAGAAAGCTATCCCAAATAAACCCTTAATCCCACCATATTGCAAATTTTAGTTAATCATTTGACTCATATTCTCTTCAAAAAGGTGAACAAAGACGAATTTGAAAGAATTACATACCTGAAATACTTTACGAAATGTTGTCTTCCCATCCTGAACTAGGTGAGCTCCAATATAGAAACAAATTGCATACACGCAAAAGAGTATGAAGAAGGAAACTCCATAACCAATCCCGCCAATCACTCCTTGTTTGATTCCTGTTTTTATATGACCTTCACACTTATTCATATAAAGTTCCATAACTTTCTCTTCAGCTGAGAATGAAGCAACTGTCCTTATGCTTCCCACTGCATCATTCGCCACCTGACTTGCTTCTTCGTACATCATCTACAGACATAATTCAAGGAGTAATCATGTTTTAGCATAATGTGGTGATGACTCAAGGAGTATCTATCTAACAAATTAAGGCTTCGTTTGGGACGGCTTTCTTACTGTTTCTTAAAATGGCTTTCTAGTACAAAAATTTTAACAGTAAGAAAGCCGTCCCAAACGAAGCTTAACTTTGAGAAGTTTCCCAATGTTTTTTCTTGTTTTTTCTTGTATATATGATTGTATATATATACCTGATAAAAGTAAGGATTCGTTTGGAACGGTTTTCTTACTACTTCTTAAAGCAGCTTTCTTGTACTAGAAATCTGCTTTAAGAAGCAGTAAGAAAGACTTCCAAATGAAGCCTAATATTTTTCCAACAATTTTGAGCAGGTCAAGTCTTTTAAGATGAACAAGGTTTCCATATGCCGCCAATTGTGCAAGTGAAAAGGGCAGCACTAGTTCAAACTAAGTGCATTCTCTGGTTTCCAGAAAAAGAATATGAAAATATGATGAGAATGAGATGAAGAAATAATTGGGAGGAGAATTCGTTTATGACTTTCATGAACTCGGTTGGTAAAACTGTTAAATTTATCCGTTAAGATAATTTCTAGAGAAATATAGGAGTCTGCCATCAGAAAGTAGCCTCCAACACGAAAGGCCATAGCAATCTATTAGGATGGTAATAAAACTTCGAGCAAAAACTAAATTAAAATGATAGAATAATCACAATAAAGTTTACAAACACAAAGACGCAACATCTTATATGATTTGGTGCATTCCAACATTTGACTACTCAATCCGCTAAGCTTCAAAAAAACTAGGGGTGTAAGTGAGCCGAGCCGGCTCACGAGCCGGAAATAACTCCTACTAAAATCCAACATGAATCCTATATCCAAACAACCCTTTTTGTATTAAATATGATTCATTATGATTTATTGTAATTAATTATCATTAATTATATTTTATTATAATTAATTATTATCAATTATAATTAGTTTATATTAATTATAATTAATTGTGATTAATCATAATTATTTATCATTAATCATAATTATTTATTATTAATTATAATAACTTATTATTAACTATAATTAATTATTATTAATCACTGTTAATTCAAAAAAAGGAAAAGAGGAAAAAGGGGAAGAAAGAAGTTGTGTGCCTCGATATGCGTGCCAACATCGCTGATATAGCCGTCAACCAAGGGGTGTCAAAATGGGTCAACGGGCCGGGTTTGAGTCCAACCCGACTTGACCCGAGTCCAAATGGGTCAACCCAAACCCAACCCGGTTTTGCAAATGGGTCAGATTTCTCAACCCGAACCCGACCTGTGCGGGTTGTCGGGTTAACCCGACTCGACCAACGAACCCGACTTTAACCAATTTTAATGATAATTATTTTTTAGAACGATTTGAAATTACTGCAGTTTTTGTCAAAGAGGGAGCATATTAGTCACATAATCAATACATAATAGAGATTAGGGAGTAGTTTGATATTTTAAGCTATGATATTAATTAATTAATCTCTTTAGGAATCTGGATTTAGTTAATTAAAACAAAAAAAAGCTTCGCATGCTTTATGGCTTTGTCGACTGACACGGCGGTTGACAGATGACTGACGCGATGACTAACGAGTGGGATTTGATGGCTGCAACTCAATGAGTGCGGACTACTGACTTTGGACGAAGGATGAGACGATTGACGCAACACGCACGGACCTAAGAGTTCTTTTGGGTCAACACGGGTTGATTTCGGGTTGCCGAGTCAACCCGAACCCGACCCGATTTTGCAAGCGGGTCAAAAATTCGAACCCGAACCGAACCTATATCGTAAAAGAGTTGACCCAAAACCGAAATTTTTCGGGTCGGGTTCCGATCTGGTTTCTGGTCGGGTCAGATTTTGACACCCCTATGTTGACCCCGCCGCAAAAGGTATAAAGTTCCAAAAACCTGTCATTGGTGCTTGCAGTGCAAAGAGCCAGCACATATGCATGTTTTTCTTAGTGTAGTGGGAGGAAATTCGCTGCGATGCTCACGATGAGGCAAGTAATCCTCATGCGCTTTTTTTAGCATAGCGGGGCAAAATATAAGTACCCGTGCATGTGCTTTAGTGCCTATGGGGAAACAATAGTGCATTTTTAAATAGGTACCCCTGAATGCTCATACACGCCTTTCTTGGTGAGGAGGGATTGAAGACTACGACCGTGGTGTCACACGACATCGATCATGCACGTCTTTCTTAACATGGAGAGAAGGGCATTACTCCCCAAATTTCTACCAAACAGGGAAAATCTGGGGTGCTGTCGAAATTGAGAGTGAAAATGCACAAAATTAAAAGAACAATAAGGCACCTGATTCAAGCTGAATGATTAGGAATAGGAGTTTCAAATTGAACAACAGGAAACTGGACCCTAAAATTCTAAAATGCACAATTAATTCAAAAGTGCAAATGCTAAATGATGATTGAAATCATTCAAATAAGCATAAATAAATAAGCATGAGATTCGTGGCAGGTAACCTTTAGATATGAACAACTTGCAAATGACATCAATCGACTACAAAGGGTATAAACACCTTCTACATGCGAAAATGAAGAACTTGCTATGCAAGCAACAGTCAACCTGTAGATTAAAATGACAACACCGGCAATTAATGAAGGACGACTTGTCATGCACAGAATATGTCATACAAAATCAATACTAGATAGCAAACAATGAATGTGACAATGCCTTGCAGTCGACATCAGTGTTTGGCATGCAATTGAAGTCACTAAAGATGAGCATAATAAGCCACATGTGAATGATGATGGTGGATATGATGCAAGTACAATAATGCTCCCTATAAGCATGTCTAAAAGACTGTAGTCAACATATAAGTAGAAGGGCTTATGATGTGACAGTTCACATGCAGATAATAATCAATAATCCACTGTGAACATGAACAACTACGAACAACTATAGGAGACCCATCATGTTGCAGTAGTCTAACTTTGAAAGACAACGAATAACATGCAGTAAATGCTGGATCATCCCTGCAGTTAACAGCCACCCGGCAACAGGTAAATGCAATAAGTCCTTGCAAGTTCAAATAACCACTACGTAATAGATGCAAGCATCCACAGTCTGCTGTAGAAGGCCTACTGCATATTCAACATACTACCTACAAGCAAAATGCAGGACTATGAGGAACGTAAACACCTGCAAGTAACACAAGATCTGTGCTAAGTGCAGCTTGCCCGCAGATGATAGTGGGGATCTTATAATGCATACAATGAGCCTATCTGCAAGCAGTAATGAATGCAACGCTGCTTGACAGTGAACGTCAAGACGGAGATGGGTAAACAACCCTGCTCGCAGTCAATAATAGTTGACTGATGAATAAATGCATTGATCCGCTTAGGAACAACAACAACGGATGTAGCAACCTGCCAGCTAACATGTATAGATGATCATTGGAATTGCACTGAGGTGAGCCTCATATTGCACAATTTTAAACAATGCTTCCTGCACTCTGATATGTACGTACTTATAGAAGATTACTTCATCATAAGCCAAAGACGAGGAATCTAATGATGCATCAACCGAGCCTTTGGTCTCATCAGATTATGAAAACTCATATATCACAAAACGACCTCATATCATTTGGATGTCCTTATCCATTATAAGAAAGTATCGGGTAACTTATAAATCTGATCTCTAGGAATGATAAGGCAATCATAAGGGATCTTGCTAGACTAAGTGGTGTTCTTGTAACTTATCAATGGAAGCATAATGCAACTCATGTCAATGCTGCTATGGATAAGGATGGAGCCTACATCAAAACAACTAAGTATCTCATGGTTATGTCGGGTGATAACCCTACAATTCAACTGTAAGCAAAAGCAATGAATCAGTAGTAAAAATCACAGGCCATTGAATTACAATGCTATGCCACTGAATCCACAACACTCATATAAACTGACAGAAAACCTTTTTTAAAACTCCTCCCAATAATCTAACAGGAACCGAAACAGCCAAATCCTTCCTTAAAAGAAGTTATAGACTTCCTTCTGCAAACACCTGAAAATTTTCTCCCTTTGTTCACTGAATTGAAATCCTCTCCCCTAAGGCTCTATTCTTTGTAAATCAATAATAGGATATCTTCATATCAATACAATCTAAAAAATATTCTTATAAACCACGAAATGAATTAATGAAATATTTGAATTTAAAGAAGACATTCATCCATATCTTCAGAAGAGTTTATCAAGACAAAGGCTAGCTACATAGATATAACACAATCCAAGGTAACAAGTCATAAACCGTAAAATAAAACACAATGGAAGTGAATGCTACCAAAGCAAAAGTAAAATTTTTCAAATTCTGAACACTAAACTGAAGCAGTGATTATAAATTTTAAGAAAGCTAAAGACAAACCTTTGTATCCTCACTGAATCCTGTTGCGAACTTCATCTGTAGCCATCCAGTGATGCCTAAGAGAGGAACTATGGATAAAATAATAAGTGCGAGTAGCCAATTGGCAACAAAAGCAATTACCAAACCAGCAGTTAATGTTGTAATGCTCTGAACAATTAATGCAAGTGCATCACCAACAAGATTAGTAACTTTGGCTGCATCTGTTAAAAGTCTAGCACCAACTGCTCCACTGGAGTTCTCAGGATCGTCAAACCATGCTATCTCCATGTTCACAATCTTCTCAAATGTCATCAATCTAATTCTTCTTATCAACTTGGATCCAGCAACAGCAAAGAAGTATGACATTGCTGGATATGCAACAAAAGAAACAACCCCAAATAATAAGAACACTAACGACCAGAGCTTGGAATCTTTCTTAAGCATGTGAGGAGGCTGATAGTAAGTATGTATAACACCAGACCAGAGTACTCCATAAAAAGGAAAAAGAAGTCCGTTGATGATTGCAAATACTGAACCAAGAAGCAGCATTGGAATTTCTGGTTTGTTAAGGAAGGCAAGGCGATGAAGAGGAACTTCCTTTGGAAGCTCAGGCTTTGCAGTCTTGGGCTGCTCTGATTTACTTCCTTGAACATCAGCTCCTGCGTCCAAATTAAACCCAGCTGAGGATGAATCTTCATGGTTGCTAAGCTCTAAAGGCTCTATTCCAGCAATAAGAAGACTGGCATTGTCTTCATCAGGTAGAGACACGTGATCTGAACTAGGAAACATTCCTTGCAAGCGTATGAGTTGACTATATGCTCCATTTGGGTCTTTCACAAGCTCCAAATGAGAACCTAATCAAAATAGGGAAAAAAATCATTCCCTGCAATTAAAGGAATACAAGGATACACTGCAAACTCATAGGATTTATACCTTTCTCAATTATTGACCCATTTCCTATAACTGCAATAGCATCGGCATTTCGCACCGTGCTTAAACGATGAGCAACAAGAACAGTCGTGCGGTTTATCATGATTCTATTAAGTGCCTCTTGCACAATTTGTTCAGATACGACGTCGAGTGCGCTGGTAGCTTCATCCAGTAGCAATATTCTTGGATCCTTCAGAATAGCTCGAGCAATTGCAATCCTTTGCTTCTGGCCACCAGATAGCTGAATCCCATGCTCACCAACCATTGTATCCAGTCCCTGAGGATCATCAAAAGCTCTAGCTACAATCCACCCCATTTTGAGATAATAAATATTTGGAACTTAGTAAAAAAAAGTTGAAAGACAAAGACCAACCTTAGGCATCTTGTCGATGAACTTGGAAGCATTAGCTATCTCAACAGCAGCTTTAATATCATCAATGGTTGCATTATCCTTACCATATGCAATATTATCTCCAATGCTTGAGGCAAAGAGAACAGGCTCCTGGCTTACAAGTCCCATCTTACCCCTGAGCCATTTAAGTTGGAAATATTTGATTTGTATGCCATCAATAAGGGCTTCACCACCCTGTGGATCATAAAATCTTTGAATCAGACTGATTACTGTTGACTTTCCACAACCACTCTCTCCAACGAGAGCCACAGTGGTCCCACTATGAATTGTGAGAGAAAATCCTCTAAAAATTTGCTCATCTGGTCTCACTGGATAACTGAAATATACTTCTCTAAATTCAATATCTCCATGAATATCATCTAACGTTTTCCCTGTTTTGTCATATAAATCAATCTCTGGCTTTCTATTGATTGTCTCAAACATTTTGTAGGCCGCGGCCTGGCCTGCTGAAAATGCTAACATGCATGGAGGTAACTGACCTAGAGAGCTGATCAAAATAGAATGAAAACATTCACATAAATCTTAATATAATGAATTTAGCATATCCAAATCTTTGCAAAAGCATCATAATAAAGGCTGGAAACATCATATATGAATGAATAGACGGTGAATATTGCTTGAATATTTTATTTTTGATTAATTTTTTGAGTTGAATAGAAAAATTCATTCAAGCTATAATCTGCTTTTGCACGTACTCCAATGTAACTTTTGAATCTGGATATTTTCCAGCTTGATCTCCTTTTAGCAAAGAAATTATACCAAAAACTCTTTGAACATCAACAAAATAACTGAAAATATTTTGAATAAATGAGAGGAAAAATGGTCATTTAAGTAACTTACAAGGCACTAATCATGATTGCTACGATAACATTAATGACAAGTGCACCAGTATATCCTTTTTCTTCAATTAAGATCAGCTTTCCTCCATACCAAATGGCCAAAGAGTAAGCAGAAAATATAAGAAACATTACTGTGCCAAGACCCAATCCAGTAGCCAGGCCATTGTGAACACTGGAAATGTAGGCCTTTTTTACAGCCTTGCAGTACTTGTCCACTGACAGATCTTCTCCAGTAAAAGACGCAACCTGAAAGATAAAAAAGGTTTTAAAACATGGAACTTTTGTTATGCATTCTTAATTTCATGTTTGTCTGCGTTCATGTAAAAATACACAAACTATGATGTTGAGAGTGCATGCATGTTCATATGAATGTACTTTTATGCATATGAAAGTTTTGTATGTAAAGATGAATTTGAACCATTTTCAATTCTACTGAGGAAAACTTGATCAATGATTCACTATACCTAATGGTGGTTTAACTTTGGGGGAGAACTTTGAAGTTTGAGTTGTTAGGTGCACTCATTGTCTTTGGTTTTACATGGTATGCATCAATAACTACTTCAAGACCTTAGATTCTTCTTGAATGCTGTGCAGGAAAACGTAGCTAGTGAAATTAAGAGTGTTGTGAAATATGTGCTTCGAAATCAAAAGAAAAAACACCTAATAGTAAAAGTAGTTTGTAGTGGAATCAAAATATGCCAAAAAAGATAAAAAAATAAAAAACTTTGTTATAAAAAATAGTTTAGATGTAAAAACTAAAAAAATTGGAAAAGATATAGAATGACACATAGGAAATCTAAGAAAGTAATATGTGATGTAAAGAATTTAGCATTTAGTTATTTATATAATAGATTAAATACTAAGGAGGGCTAAAGATGTATGTATAAATTAGACAAGCAAAAAGTTAGGAGAAGTAAGATTTAGTTTAAGTGAAGTGCAATAAGGATGAATATCAAAAAAATATTTTACTTAGAAGAGAATATTCAACATGGAAGACTGAAAAATTTCGATAAACTTTTCAATGAATGTTGTGAGAATACAATTGACTTTAATGACCTTAGCACCGTAAATGAAAATAGAGATTTTTATTTTTATCATTATATTAGTAAAATCAAAGTTGGAAAGGATTTAAAGAAAATGAAGTGTGAAAAAAATAGCAACCTGATAATATATTAATAAAATTGTAAAAATGCTTAGGAGATCAAGAAATTTCTTGACTTACTAAACTCTATAATATTATTTTTAAGACTTAAAAGTTGTCAAATAACTTGTGAAAACTGTGTTGATTCTCATTTTTAAGAACAAAGGTGATGCACAAGAGTGTACGAATTATAGAGAAATTAAGTTAATGTACCATATATTAAAATTATAGGACAGAGTAATCAAGCATAGGTTATAATCTACTTTCTCAAAATCAATTTAGATTCATTTCGGGTATGTCTACTAAGGAAGCTATACATCGGCCGAGAGGTTTGATGAAAAAGTATAGATAGAGTAAGGAGAATATATATGATATTTATTAATTTAGAGAAAGCATATGATAAAGTTCAAAGAGAAGTGATCTAGAGAGATTTAGAAAAGAAAGGAGTTAATTATTAAGGATATGTATATAGGAGCTGAAGCCGACCCCATTTAGTAAGATAAAGGCTTGATGTTGTTGATGATATTGTATACAGGAGCTGTTACTACTATTCAAACAGGGTAATTTGATCAAGTATTTTTCTATTTTAGTTGATAACATCAAATATTAGCTTTAAGCCCAAATCTTTTTGTTTGTCATGGATGTTCTTACAAGACATTTGCAAGAGAATGCACCTTGGTGTATGCTTTTTACTGGTGATATTCTTTTTATTGATAAGACTAGAGTGGGAGTTGATGAAAAACTTGAGAAGCTCAAATACATGATGTGAAATTTGAGTGGTGGGATTGTGACATTGGGTGATCAAGTCACTAAAAAGTGTGCACGTTTTAGATATATCAGTTATATTGTTCATAGAAATGGTGAAATATATGGGAATATTATTAGTAGAATTTAGGTTGGATGGTTGGGCATATAACTTCGAAAAGTCTATTGTAATAGCACTACCCTAAAAGTTAAATATAGTGACATCGCTAATTGAAAGTTCTGAGATTCATTATCCTTAATGGATGTTATGTTTAACCGAGTACCTTTTGTAGTTATAAAATTTTCATAAATCATAGTTGTTGACCTCCATTCAAAAAATAATATTAAAAAAATCAACATACTTACTCAAAATCTCTGCGCGCAAATCCTACTGAAATCCTGCATATACAGCTGCCCCATACCCTGCAGTTCGGCAATTCGACGTTGTTTTTGAACAAGCCACAATTGCCCATTCCCGCGGTTGCGCGACTTCCGCCTCGAATAAGCCTACTTCATCGTTAAATTGAGAACGAAACGAGGCACTTTGTTTTCTAGTTCCCGCACACAATCCTCCTCTGCTTTGAATCCCCTCACCAAGCTCCCACGCCTCCTTCGACAACATTCCTTCCCTTCGGATACGAATCGCATGCCCTGCTCATGCGAAAACCCCAATCTCTACAACAGCCGCAAGACCTTTGATCCTTCTGTACTCGACACCTAGCTGCTTCGATCCCGCCCCCAGCACCATACCCTCTCTTGAATCACCGTGCCAAAGCCGCCTCCTTCTTCCCGAAGCACGAGCCGCATACGTCGATCCTGACGCCTCTGGTACTTGCGCTTATGGCTCGATCCTGCACAGACCAAATCCACAATCCCTTCAATCCCTCAACTACCCTAATGTCAGCCTTCACTAAGTCGTAGAGCCCGTCATCCATCCCTCAAGTCACCGAACACTTGCTCTATGCTCTATCCCCTCACTATGTTGAACATCCTATTTGACACCCACAGCCCTTCTGATCCATGGTTGGCTTCAAATCCCACAGACCCAGCTGAGCCCATTTAATCTCCTCCCTCACAATCGTGCCCAACTACTGTGACAAGCTTTTCTCAATCGAGTCCAGCTCCCCTTTCATTTCTCTGCTTTGCTCGGTCCTACTCCATGCCGAACTCACTACCATGTTTCCTTCCTGGTGTCACAAGCTTGCCCAACCCAATCCCCTATACTCAGCCACAACAGCTTACACTGCATTCCTCCTCCTTCACAACACTTAGCTTTCCCTATTACTATTAATTAATATTATTAGTTACTATTATAGCTTAATATTATTAATCACTCTTATTATTATTATTATGTAAACAAAAAAGGGAGAAAATTTAAAAAAAGAAAGAAAAGAAAAAAAAAAGGAAAGAGAAATGAGAGAAAACAAAAAAAAGAGAGGAAGATAAAAAAGGGGAAATTTTGGTGTACTTTCATCGCCACCTTGTTGTCGTCAACATCGTCGTCGAAGGTATAAATGTCCCTTAAACTCAAAATCTAAAAAATCTTGTTTTCGACGCTCATGGTGCACTGAAAATTATCTACACATGCTTTTCTCTAGCTTCGTGGGAGGGAACCCGATGCAGCGCTAGCGACGAGGTAAGTGAGCATTGTGCACTCTTTTCTCTAGTGTGGCAGGGAAAAACTTAAGTACCAGTATATGTACCTTAGTGCCTGTAAGGAAAAATTGTGTTTTCAAAACATGTACCTCTGAAAACCCATCACTACAGGAAAACACACGAATACCGTCGGATGTTCCGGCGGAATTTTTTGCGTCGGTAAATACGACATTTGTATCGGCGTATCATGCGAAGGAATAATAACGGCGTTCTTTCCGGCGCATCCTGCGACGGAAACTTCCTGACGTCCCATGCGCCGGTGATATCGTTAGAAATTAGCAGCATTTCATTCTTACCGGCGGACTTTACGGCGGATTAGGTACGGCGCAGTTACCGGCGGATAATACGTCGACTGTTTTAAACTCAACGACTTGGAACCGACGAAAAAGACACCGGAAAACGTTCCGGCGTCTAGGACGCCGAAAAATCCGCCGGCGAAAGCCCTATTTTCGAACACGACCCCGTATGGCTGCTCATTTTATTCCGTCATTTCTCTCGCATCTCCAGTCTCTCTCGTCGCCCCAGCGTCGCCCACCCTAGATCGCCGTCGCCGAGCTCTGTAGACGTTCACGGGACGTCGCCGACGATCACCGCCTTCATCGCCGGCGAAAGGAGACCTGTTTCGCAAAATTCAACCGTCAGTTTCCACCGCCTCCCGATTTTCCGCCGCCTCCCGATTTTGTCGATTGTAAGATTTTTTTTTCTTCAAGTTATTTTTTATTAGACACTTGCTAGAGGATGCACATATTAGATGTTTTTTTGTTGATAAATTTTTCAAAATCAATTTGGATTCATGCCGGGTAGGTCTATTATGGAAGTCATACATTTATTGAGAGGTTTGATGGAGAAATATAGAGAGAATAAGGAGGATCTACATATGATATTTGTTGATTTAGAGAAAGCATATGATAAAGTTCCAAGAGGAGTGCTATTGAGAGTTCTTGCAAAAAAGAAGAGTTAATAGCGCTTATATTCAAATCATTAAAAATATGTATGCATGAGCTATTACTTGTTTTAACAGCTGCACCAGAGCAGGCGACAGATGATCGAATGTTGATGGCACCTGAAGGTGATACGTACTTACATTCTATTTTATTTAAGCTAACGAACATATTTATTTTATATTATATATTTGTCTCACATAACCTTATTTTTGTAGGTTCTACCCATCAAAACAACCGACGCTCCTTACGTTTCTTGGAAGAAAGTCCCGAAAGAAGTCCGGGAAAAGTGGATTAAAGATTTTGAGGTATTTTTGGGTTTTATTTTTTATGTTATGTCTAATTAAACAGTTTATTCTTTTTTACTTAAGCTAACAAACATATATATTCTATATTGTATGTATTTGAATGCAGAAAAATTTTTGTTGCTTGTCCCAGCACAATGACAAAATTAGAAAGAATTTTGAGAAGCGTGGGTCCACTCGGATGCGCAACATGTTCACAGACATTAGAAAGTCTGGCGAGCGACCATTGTGGATTGGAGAGACTATATGGGCTAAGTTGAACACTGCTTGGGGCACCGCAGAGTATAGTAGGAGGAGGGATCAAAATCAACAGAACAGAGCTTCTGATGTTGGGGGCTTGGCTAGTGCCCTTCATACTTGCGGCTGCATTCCACATACTGAGCACAGGCGATGTTTGGTAATGAATTTTAAAAGTTTTTTAACATTTTTCTTTAATACAAATATTAATAGAATTCTCTT